TACGTACGCCGAGAAGCAAGTAACGCGCGTTGTAAGTAATCTTCCACGTAACACGACGTGCGCTCGCTCTCTCGCTTCTCAGAGCGCGTCTCACCGCGTGATTCCACGTGCATTAATACGGGGCAAGCTAGCCGCTATAAAGAGAAACTCCGAAGAACTATAACCTTCCACCCTCGAGAACGATCTCGGGTGCGTCCGGGAGTTTTATGAAGCACGTCTTGCCACCGCGCGTGTCGCTCGGCTCGGCTCGGCTCGCCGAGATCTTTATAAGCTCTTTCTCTCTCTCTCTCTCTCTCTCTCTCTCTCTCTCTCTCAGCGCGTCTTCGCGCTCCTCTCTCCGTGCCTGCGAAGGCCACACTTGCGAGTGTTGGAATAAGATATGGAATATCGCGAAACCGCGCGAAAGAAACTTTGCGCTCGAATCGTCCTCGGAGTCGTCCCATTCATCCCCGTTCGCGATCCGCGATCCTTGCGGATGAAGAAAATCCGAGCTGCGAATTTCGGCCCGTAAATTTTCCGGAAAATCCACCGGCGCGGCCATCGCGGCTGACGGAGGGAGTTTTGCATTTGCCGGAAACCCGGTCGTTTCTGCGCGCGAGTTCTCCTCTGTTTGCTTTCTTTTGTCGCGCAACTCGCTTATCAGCGGGAACGCACACAACTCGGAACGAGCGATTTTGGAAAAGAAACATTATGCGGAACAATTAGGCGGCATGAATGGCTGAGGCGCTTTCTGTGTGTGCGTCGCGTGTATGTGTAGTGCATGCAAATGTGCGTGCATGTGTACGCACGCACGCGCGCGCGCCTTTTGTCGTGTTCGCAGCGTAATTTTCTCCTTTATATTCATAGGGCGGTAGCGTGACGCAAGTGAAGCGGTAAACTTGCGGTTCATTTGGCTCTGGGCCTTAAATATCACGCCGAAGCAGCGAGCACGATTGCGAGATTAATTTGCATACGTAGCGCGTAATCTATCAGTCGATCGTGGGCCGCGTCTAAGGGAATCAATATCAAAATGAACGCAATAACGGCGACAAGGGCGATTAGTGCGGATAATGCAGTTGGTTCGCCCTCAAACGTCATTACGTTATATCCTGTCGCGCGTTGTAAATTTTCGCGCGGATATCACCGGCGAGTTTGTGCCGGCCGCGGCATAAAATATTACGGACGTGTCACACACACCCGTAGTTTTCGGCAGATCGTGTGATTCTCCTCGTCTGCCATTCTTCTCAATCCTGCGTGTTCTGCTCTCCGCTCTTCCGTCTACCCTTTGTTTTCTTGGCCGAGCATGGAACACTACGTGAGATTTTGTCTCTATTGATAAAGCCCCCCCGTTCTCGTCTTTGTGCGCTCCTAACTTTAACGATTCGCTCGCGAACAGCACGAGCGTCTTAGACAGAGATAGAGCGCCGCCGCGTCAGGCGATGTAAGCGCATTAAACTTTTCCGCTAATTAAACGCAATGTACTCGGTAATTATGATTGTCGAGGAGCAAGGCCCCGGAAAGAGGACTCGACGAATGACGAGCTGTGTGAGCGAAGGACGAGCGCGCGTGTTTTCGACGGAACTTCCAAACACCTTCCGGAGGTCTCTCGCGCTAGAAAGTTGCTCACGACGGCTTAAGGGCCTAATCCTATTTCGTCTTGAAGTACCGCATTCTTATGCAGATGCGCTCGAGTAAGAGCGCGGCCGTAATTCGTCGGGCACTTGAAGAAGCGGTCGGTGCGCGTTATGTTCGCGCCGACATCGTTCCGACGATCCGGCCTCGACAACACCTTGTCTCGCAATTTACGGACGCGGGAGCCCGCGAAATCATGCAAATCGCGCGAAATTCACACCGCGTGCGACGGCATCCGGTCAATCCTCCTTAACCCAACTTGCTGCCCGACCATCTTCCCCTCGGAGCCCCTCGCTCCGACGTTGCTTTTCTTCACGATGAAACGATCTATCAAGTTCGCCGCACGTTCCCCGGCCTTTGCGGCGCTTCATAACTCTCGTTTTCAATCCACCTTAGCCATTCCTTAATCTCGTCCCAGCTTGAGAAAAAATGAGAAAAAAATCGCGGGAAGAAACACCACCGGCCGCGCTTCTATCCTTAACTCATCCTGTCGCCGAGCAGTATCGAGGGCGCTCGCAGCTGTAGGAAAGACAAGAAAAGAAGAGGAAGAAGTGGAAAAGAGAACAAGAGGGAAGGTACTCGGGCGCGGGGAGGGAGGGGAGGGGGGAGGGGGGAGGGCGAACGGTGTTGGCAAAGCTCCGTTCGCTCCGCCGTTTGTTTCCACCTCCGGCGGCAGTCACGCACGCGGAGACGCCGCGCCGCATCGACATGCAAATCGCGCCATTAGAGGCAGTGGCATTCGCGGCGAGAGACGTTCCTGTCCCTACGAAGCGTGATACTCGCGGGACAATTCGCCACGGTACATTAAGCCGCGGCTCCCGTTTACCGTAATTCACCAGCGCTTCCTCGCGAACGATTACGGCGCAGCAGTCGGAGCGGCTTCCGGCCTCCGCATCGAGGCGAGGCTGTAACCCCCCTCCCCCCTCCCCCCCCCGCCTCGCCCCACCCGCCGTACGTGCCGTAATCGTTTCCCTTCTTACCACTCGTCCCGATTCAACCCCCTTTTGCGCGTCGCGAACACTTTCTCGTTTCTCGTCAGATATTCGGGTCGATCGCGCGAATTGATTGCGCGAATAATTACTTACCGGCTCTCGTCTCTCGTCCGCAACGACACTGCGAGGAGGAGAGACTTTGAGGAAGGATCTTTTCCCCCCGTGCGCTCCGTTTCTAGGTCGGCATTTACGTTGAGGTCTTACGTTTCCGTCTCGGTCGTCTTGGGTTCTCATCTTGGGATGATGCTGTACGGATCATCCGAAGATGGATCTGAAACGACCGGGACGATCGGCTCGGTATTTTGCTCGATCGTCGGTCTTTGGAGAGCAAACACGCTGGAAGGAAAAACGTCTTGGGCGGATCAACCGGCCGGAGGGGGGAGGGGGGGGAGGGGGAGGGAACTCTGCTAAAGATCATACGTGGAAAATAAGTTTGCTCGAATTAACGCGACGGTGAAAGAACCAGCTGCATTTTGGCTGAAGGAAGCAGGATTTCCGGCGAATTCGATTCGACTTTGAGGATCGGAATGCAGCACCTGGTTCGCTATCGTGTCTTCATCTCAAGTCAATCAAACTTTTCTCTTCGCGTATAAATATTCCTCAACTTTGGAGCAGAGGGGGGGGGGGAAATTTCACGGCACTTCTCGGCGAAGAACGTTCGCAGCAGCGACTGACCCTCGAAGATGCGAATACTGAATGAAGTGGTCTCTAGACGGTGTGTGCGACAACATTGGATCGGCCCACGTGCGGCCGTTCTCGAGGGTCAGCGATCCGAAGAAAACAGCGGAGACGTTATGCGCATAACACCTCCATTGACTCGCGAGTTCCGCACGCTTCCGTTCGTCGTGACGGGCTGTCCGCCAGCGGTTAGCCTCTGTCATGTTACCGCGAAATGCTATTAAGCTACCGTTATCTGGGTAATACGGCTCGCTATGGTTAGCGCATAATGGCGAGTGTCACAAAGCGCGCATTATCGCGCGCTCGCACCGTGATTCGACGCGCCGCCCGGCTAAATGCGGATTACCAATTAGCGGTAGTCAGTAAATAAGCGTCCGCGCGCGCGCGCGACCGCTTTTCGCGATTTCGTCCCTTCGCTCTTTCTCACCGTGGCGGACGGCCGTTTCTCCTGCGCGTATCGTGCGATTCGCAGCGGGAATTTTGCTCCTCCTGCTCAACCCTTTCGACTCTCTTTCCCTTGGATTGTATACAGTAGGGTATCTGTCAGGTCCGACCGCACCCTTGGATCTCGGAAACGGCTTGAAATATGGAAAAATGTTTCAGACAAAAGTTGTGTGGGACAAAAATTGAGGGGGGACACATGATAGAAATATGGACTTGACCTTGGGAGATAAGGACCCCACGGTTCGTCACTCCCGTAGTATTTTTTTCACTCATTTTGAGCATCTTCTGCAGTAACGGCAAGAAAATAACTAATGTAAGGAGAAGGAGAAGAAGAATAGTGGAGAGAGACAGTGAGAGAGAGAGAGAGAGAGAGAGAGAGAGAGAGAGGGGGTAGGAGAATTTTGACTGAAGAAACACATGCACACAAAATTGGTCCTTCTTTTTGGGTCACAACACACGCACACACACAGTGGAGAGGGTTTGGAGTCGAAAAATACTACGGGAGTGACGAACCGTGAGGTCCTTATCTCTACTGTGACACACATACGCACACAGACACGCGCACAAGAGGCGTAAATCCGACCGTGCAACCTTGCACGCGGTACACCTTGAGTAATGCGAATGCCGGCGGTATGTCAACTTTGAAACTTCATATCTTGAGAATGGCTTGTGCAAGAAACAAAAATGGGTAGTGTTTTGAAAACGTCTCGACAAGGGCTACAAAAGTATGCAATAAAAAATAGGAGTTTCTATTTAAGAAAACATCGATCACAACATTGGCCTTGATAAAGTCACTCAAGGTCAAGTCCATATTTTTATCGCATGTTCCCCTCAATATCCTACAACTTTTGTCTGAAACATTTTTCCATATTTAAAGCCGTTTCCGAGATCCAGGGGTGGGGTCGGACTTTACAGATACATTGTATAAGCTACTACTAGCAAGTAGTCTAAGAATTTATTTCGTGTCAGCGTTGTGTTCAATTTTTCTCCTCATACGCGCGTTACATTTGTCGCCTCTGTAAGTTATTTGAACGTATTTGAAATTTCTCGGACGAAGCAAGACGCAAGAAGAAGAGGTTCGTTCTTCGCGCGTCTTGTTTTCAACGTTTCTCGTTCGAGCGAGACGATTGCCTCTGGGTCTCGAGCTGGGTGTTCGAGTCTTAATTAGATGGACTCGTCCAACGGGAAACGCCGCTAAAAGTCATGCACGCAATGCTCAACATGTCGCGACCTCAAGTGGGGGGAATTTTAAATGACAGTTTGTACCATTCTCAGCGACGTGACGATCTCGTCGAGCGTTCGCGAGTGGCTGCGCTCGCCGGCTTTCGACGCGCGACAATGGGAGGACGAGGAGCTGCTGCTGATGCTGCAGACGATGTTCGTCGAGTTAGATCTACCTGAAAAGTTCAACATTCCTTTGCCGATTCTGAGGAACTTCCTGTACGAGGTCTACAACAACTACAACGAGGTGCCGTTTCACAATTTCAGGCACTGCTTCTGCGTCGCGCAAATGGTGAATACCGTCGTCTTTACGTTACCCCTTAATATAATAATCCCCTGTTAAGGTTCCCTGGTTAAAAAGATTCCGATCGAATCGAGTATCGAGACGCCTGTGTGTGCTGAAGCCAAGTTGATTCTACCTGAAATTTGGGCTACTAACACAACACTAATTATATCCATAGTTGCAATAAATACTAATATACCATACCACGATTACAATAAATTTACACTAGCCACTCAATACCACTCAATACTCCTAACTACCAATGCTTTGGCAATACTGATGGCAATATAATTGTTATGCAATTACAACAAAAATGCCAATAATATCGATACTAACACGACACTGTTCGTGATAATGATATTAACAACATCACGAGACTACGTACAATGATATGCAGAACGAGCATGAATAATAAAGCACCCAACTGCTCGATGCAATAGTTACGCATTGTGTCGGCTCTAATGACAAACTGTTCGTCCGATGTCGAGTAGAACGGTGCATACCTCTGTTCGTCGTAAGCCGAGTCGCGTTGACCTCTCACTTAATGGCAACTGCTCGATCGCATCTAGATGTACGCGATAGCCTGGGCGGTGGACCTGCCGTCGAAAATCGGCGACCTCGAGGTCCTCATACTGATCGTCTCCTGTATCTGCCACGATCTCGACCATCCGGGCTACAACAACATCTATCAGATAAACGCGCGGACCGAGCTGGCGCTGCGCTACAACGACATCTCGCCCTTGGAGAATCACCACTGCTCCGTGGCATTCCGGGTGCTGGAGGCGCCCGAGTGCAACATCCTTGCGTCTTTGGACAATCCTACGTACAGAATAGTGCGCGAAGGGATCATCAGGTGCATCCTGGCCACCGACATGGCTCGGCATAACGATATTCTCACCCAGTTCACCGACGTCGTACCGGAATTCGATTACACCAGCAAGGCGCACATCAATCTGGTAATTACAGACATGACAGAGAGAGAGACAATTCGCAGACGACCGAGCCGCGACGTAGCGTAGTGTACAGCGCACTTCTCTTGCGAGGAGTCTCCAAGTTTCCTCACGCTCACATTCTGTTCGCTACGTGCGGCTCTCACGAGCTTCTCTCCGAGCGGCTTTCACGGCGCTATTCATGGCGCGACATGAACTCCGGCGGTGGTGGCGATTCGACGATGAAAGCGAGGTGATTCGATTGTCTTTTGTAGCTGTCCATGATCCTGATCAAGGTAGCTGACATAAGTAACGAGGCTCGCCCGATGGAAGTGGCGGAACCGTGGCTGGACAGGCTGCTGCAGGAGTTCTTCAAGCAGAGCGATGCTGAGAAACTCGAGGGTCTTCCAGTCACGCCGTTCATGGACCGTGACAAAGTGACCAAACCGTCGTCCCAGGTTAGCTTCATCGGCCTAGTTCTCCTCCCCCTCTTCGAAGTTCTCGGCGAACTGCTACCCGAGCTGCAGGTACATCCTCGTTTCTCGTTTCTCACAATTCTACACTCATCCTTCACGGATCCTTTGTCAATCATAGCCATAGACTCTGCAGATAGCCTTTGCTTCTTGCTCGCAACGAAACCATTAGCAGCGGCACAATTCCACAACACAAGCGGATCAACTTTTCGTTTTCAGGATCTCATAGTTCAACCGGTGAGGGAAGCCCTGGAGTACTATCGCAGGTTGAACGAAGCGGCCAAGGACGAGCGCCATCATCGTAAGAGCGTCGTGGATGTCGGCGAGTCGGCTCCGTCCACCATGCAGGGTGGCATCATCGGCTCGACCGCCGTCATCAAGTCCACGTCGTCGCACAGCATGCGCTCGAAGAGGTCCGCCGGGACGATTCACTCGCGCTCGCGCTCCACCGACGAGGACATCACGGAGAACCTGACGATGGAGGAGGGCGACAACATCGAGAGTTCCGATCCCGAGACCGCCACGGAGGTGGAGATCAGCGAGAAGACGCTCAAGTTTAAGATCTCCACGGAGGGCACGCTGACGGGGCCGACCAGCGGTCGGAAGAGTTACCCGGGCAGTCGGAAGGGCAGTCGGGAGAAATCTTCGTTGGATTATCACAACCACGATCTAGCTAAGGCCGTTCGCGATCACGAGCGCGAGAGGAGACGCAGCAAGGGCGAGAATCTCGGCAGCGATCTGAGCTCGCCGGTCAGCGCGAGGTCGGCCGAGGGCACACGAATCGTCGAGGAGATGGAGAAAGAGATGGAGAAGGCTTTTTTAGACGTCAAGGTGGAAGACAGAGTGCCTGAGGGAAACGGCAACGTCGTCGCGGTGGAGACACACTCGCAGCCGCGGAACAACCTGAGGAAGACCAGCGGCGTCATCGAGAACGACCAAGAGAAGCGACCCAGTCGCAGGGACACGCAGAGCAGCCGCGAGTCGATCGGCCTGCGATGCTGCTGCGACGACAAGGCCGGCCCGAACAACCACAAGTCACTGTTCTCGCGGCTGAGGAACTTCACGGACCGTCTGAGCATCAGCTTCGACTCCAAGGACTCGCCGAGCCCGAAACCGAAGCACGCGCCGAAAATGCTCAACAAGAGCAACTCGGTGAGCAGCGGCTCGGCCACGACCACCTCGTCGAGGCACCACAACTCGTTGTTCATCTGCAAACGCTGCAACCTCGCCAAGTCCACGGTGAAGGACGGCAGCAAGGCAGCGGCGATCGCGACTGTAGTGGAGCTCTCGTCTGTGGACAAGCGGGCGATGACGTTGCCGAAGGTGCGCAAGTCCACGGACTGCAAGCACAGGAGCTGGCGAACGGTGTTCGCCAAGGAGAAGAGGTCCTCCACTTCTCTGGAGGTTCTGCCGGCGGCTGGTTCCGACGGCTCGTTCTCCAAGCATCGCAGGAACCTGTCGAATCCCGAGGGCAAGTCGCAGAGCATGAAAGAGGTCAAGTCGCGACGGTGCCTGGACATTGAGTTCCAGGAGATCAACGTACGCCCCAAGCCTGAGATCATAGTCAATCCCGACGACAGCTGCTGCGACGTCGAGGAGGATCTCGGTAAGGTGGAGATCCGCCGGAGCTCCGCCAGCATGGAGGATATCTCCAAGATGGCGAAGCAGGCAGAGGCGATCATGAAGGCGGAGGAACGCCCTCATACCGGCAGTCTAGATTCGATGCTCTGCAAAGACGTCTGCAAGTCGCGCAAGAAACCTACCTTCTGCTCGCCCGGCTCGAGCAAAAAGTCGTCGCCCGGCCTGTTCTCGCGGTTCAAGTCCGGCATGAGCATCGACAGTACTCGCAGCAACAGCAACAGCGACTCCCTGCACGACCACGGCTCGCAGAGCGGCTGGATATCCTCGTTGACGGCCAGCTTCCGACCGAAGAGGCATCCGAACGAGACGCATCCGTTGTCGCCGCACCCACCAAGGTCGCCCAGCAGGGAGGAGATCAAGTGATACGTTCTGGTGGTCGAGGATTCCTCCGAGAAGAAGCTCGGCCTCCGCAGCTGGTGGCCCGACAACTTGTTCTGCTGCAACAGCTAAGACTCGAGCGGACGGTTCGATCGCAGAGCAGAGAGCAGAGAGAGAAGGAGCACCAATTTTGGACCTGGAAAGACTCGTTATCGCGTTAGAGTTTATCATAAAAATGAAAGGGAAAGAGAGACTGCTGAAATTAGAAAAATTAGTTTTTGAGAAAAAGGAACAAATTTCGAGCAAGGGGTGTTTAACAACCTTTTATCAATCGGATTTCGATCGTCGTTCAGCGACATCGTCGAGGACATTCGATGATAATCGCGTGTATTTCGCGAGACGAGAAAGATATATGCTAAAAATCTTCGCGACGATCGTGTAATATACGAGAGAGTAAAATCTTCCTCATGTGTAATTAAAGAAGGCAGTCAATTCGACGGAACATATTTGCTCGAGCCCAACCAATTATCGAGAGGACGTTTTAGGTATCTAATATGTAGTTTCCGTTAATCGAGTTCTTCTTTCGGAGGGATCCTCATAGGACCATAATTTTTCCCGTCGTTGACTTCGAGTGTTTTGCGTCGTGACGTTCGAAGTTCCGCGAGATTGGGATTGCGCTTATTTTTGCGAGGGACATTCACGGCCTGTGCGGAGCACGTGCGGACGCACGGTCTATACACATAGACTATTTTATTTATTGTCCATTTGGAGAGTAGAGCCTAACGAGAGAGTTAATCATTAATGTTGTTCGTTATTATGCATATATAATTATACGCAAGTGCGAATGTATACTACAGAGACGTAAGGATACAACACATCTCCATCGATACACGCGCATCTGTATGTGTATGTGTGTGTGTGTGTGTGTGTGTGTGTGGCAGAGAGAAAATCTATAGCGTGTATACATACATGAGAGTGAGTGGACATAAGTTTCAAGTAGGTAGGTAGGGAAAAAAGAAGAGGAGACACACGCGAGTAGATATGTAAGCGTGGCTCTGTCGTATCGATGTACGATAAAGTTTCAGGTACCGCGTAACCACTGAGGATATGAGACAAGAGAATGTTGCCACATTATTTTTAGAATTTTCTGAAGATAATCCCGTCCTCTTTTGGATAATATTCTCAGAACTTGCGAAGAGATATCCTGTGTTCTCCGAGAGTACGCGTGGATTATTATCCTCCGAGGTATGCTCGTTTGTGTCGGCTAGAGAGGGCCTTTCGAGAACTCTCGGATTTTCACACTCTACCGAGGGTTATATTCTCATTTCTCGTAGCGTTAGTAGTTATCACGGTGAAAAGAGAAAATAGGGGAGATTCGTCGGAATAATCGTGCTTCATTACTACCGCACTGTCTGTCGAGGGGCAATTCACGTGGCAGAAAAATCTCCCGTCGATTCGTCGACAATCCGTTCGGAGAATGCTGGGAAAATTGCTTCGCGGATTATCCGTTGTTTGTTTACGTCGCGCTACTAAAATGCAATTGAACTCGGGGAAACGATTTGCGACGGGCGTTTAAACGCTGAATTAAAAACTCGATTTGCCGCCGTCGCTTCGTCGAGACGAGAAGGTAACTCGATAAGACGGGCTTTTGTTTCGATTCTATTGCGAGTTGACAACATGCGGCCGTATCGATTAGCGCTTATTATGATTCGGTCAATTATCTCCTCCCATTTAATTCGTTATAAGTCACAATGGCTTTGAAAGTGACGGAGAACTTTTAACGTAGAATTAGTCGCGTCTGTAATTATGATTTGGATAAAATGTGGGAAGTTTTGTAAAATTCGCGCGAAAATTCGCTCGAATGAATTGGTAAGTCTCTCGCGAGCCGCTCTCTCAGCGTATCTCCGAACACAAAAGAAAACGCAATCTTGGTAAGAGGAGGAACATAGCCTAACGGTTCCCTTTTCGCGGCCGACTGTCTCTCCTGTCGATTATTATTTCGTTCGAAAGCTTAGGCGTGCGTGACTCTTGAGTGATTCTCGCACAGACACGTGAATAAGCCATACGCGTGAAAAACGCGTGATTACTTCTGTACGACGTCCCGCTTTTCATTTTTAGATGTTTATATTTTTATACTCCGTCAACCGCGTCTGTACGGCGATTAAAAACCGCATGTATTGTTGAACTCTAGTCTTATGTTATTGTCTTCAGTCCCGAAGGTATGCTTTCGGGCGCACTTCATTTTTTGCGACGATCTTCGCGCGAGGAAAAGCTCGATCACGCGGACGAACGAGCGAGCGAGCGAGCGAGCGAGCGAGCGAGCGAGCGAGCGATATGTGTCAAATACTTGACTGATTATTTGACCAATTCCCGTACAATTACTTTTCTAATACCTATCTATCCTTTTCTCTCTTTATCGTGCCGTAAAGTCAGGACTCGCCGGTGAAATGTCACGGGGATTCTAAAGAGCATGACCGGGAAGAACAAAGTCTGCGTAGAGTCACTGTGTAAAATAGGCAAATAAATATTATGTCTCAAATTTGTTACTCGGTGAGTCCTGCTGTTAGGACGCTAATAAGGGATGACTGTATCAAACAGCGCGAGTCTCTTGTGAAAAATTAAGAATAAAATTGGTACGCCCGTCTTCTTAGACGAGAGAAAATTGTTTGTTGTAAAGAGCAGAAGAAAGATATCGAAAATAAAAGAAAAAGAAGAAAGAAAAAGGAGAGGAGAAAGAAATTAAAAAAAAAAGAAAAAAAGAGGAAAAGGAAAACGAGATGAAACAAATAGAGGGAAATGCGACGATGTCTCTCGTTCTTCGCAAGCGAGAGAGTCTATTACGCCGGTTTAAGTAGAGCGCGGCGCACGTTCTAGTAAATAAATAATCAAATTCTCCGCGATGTGAACGAAAGAAGGCATTTGATTTTGACTCTTGAGACGCCGAGAGACGTTAGATAATCGCGAGACAGGACACTCTCGTACCTGAGGACTTTGATCTTGACGGGATTCAGTTCGCTGTGAATGAATGCAAGGCTGGAATATGTAGTATATCGTCCCGCGAATAATAAGGACGCTCTTCGAAATCTTTTGGACGTGTCTTGTAAAGAGAGTTAGTACAACATGTACATCGCGAAGCATATCCGACGATTAAATATTATAAATGATAATGATGAAATATTAATATGGAAATGCTCAGAGACCGCGCGACACGCTTTCTTTACTCGATTGTATAAACCTTAAGATCGCGAGCAGAGTAATCGAGCGTTTGTAAAGAAGAAAATGAAGAAAAAGCTTGTAACGCGACCAAAAGCGGAGGGTTAATTCCTAAAACGTTTCTACTTCACATCGTAGAGGAAATCAGATGCACTTTTTTCCTTTCATATCGCTCACTCTCTGTGCCTGATCGTCATCGATGTTCAAGACTGATATTGGAGAAACGTATTCATATATACAAAATAGTTCATTGTTTCTTAAATGTTTGTGAGCCGCGCAGGACCGAAACACGACGAAACGCATATCCAGTCTGTCTGTCGGTTTTGTTGTTTTCGGCATGAGTTCCACGCGCAACATAATTACTGGATAACGAGCGTAATTGTCTTTCCTTGGAGTATTTTGACGTATATTGATTGCTTTTATCTTATTATTATTATTTTAAAATGTCCACGTCTTAACGCGGAAACATTACGTCAAAACATTTCAGAAGAAAGTGCAATCAAACCAAAGTTTACGACGACGGGAAACCGAATTATCGCAATTGTTGCATTTATCACGTGTTATTTACAAGTGTCTTTATTGCACAAAGATGAGAGGCAGCAGTCTTTCTTTGAGAAACTTTTGATACCGGAATCTTAAATCAAACAGTACCAACACGTTCGGATACTTTTCTCCAAAACTAGTCACACCTGTTTGCGATTTCTTACCCACTAAAGTCGGCTGTTTATCAAATTCTCGATCTATTTTCCACGATCTTGGGAGAGAAAAAGTTTCAAACGCGAGATATTCAGATTCCACAAGAGAGCGTGGAATAAAATATGACTCGCAGGATCGTTGAAATGTCAATTCCAACTTTCTCGCGATATATACGAAGGATACGTAATAACGAAACTAAATAAATAAGTAAAATAAAAATCGACACAATGGGCCAATATCGAGTCGTGGTATGCGGCGTCGTTTTACTCGTCAATTGGATTTTTAGTCCCATTAGGATTTTCCTCATATTTCACAGTTGTCGCCGTCAATTATCGAGATAAAATATACTCAAGTTCATACATACAGTACACACATACACGCACACACACACACACACACACACACACACACACACACACACACACACACACACACACACACACACACACACACACACACACACACACACACACACACACACACATACATGTACACATACAGTTCCAATTTCGTCTCTCGCGATACATATTGAAGAGAAGCAATCGATGTTTGTTCGGTTTTACTATCATCGTGGCTTCAACAACTCGAAATTATCGAAATAATTCGTCATTTTGACAACGTCCTCAAACGTCTTTATTGTGGCTGTCGTTTAAACAAAACGGCTTGTGTATTGCGGCAATCTCGAATTTCGACACGAAACTTCTCGATGTGCGTTCCTCGTGAACTCAAGCAAATCAAATCACGCGGACGTGATTTCACGTTCACAAGGTTCGTTCTTAGTCCCGCCGTCCCCTTCTCACCACTTGTTATATTGTCGCTAAGTAAAAAGGAGGAAATTGATCGTGATCGTTCTACCGATATCTTTCTCTTTCCCTCTTTCTCCCTCCCTTCTCTCTTCCATTCTCTCTCTCTCTCTCTCTCTCTCTCTCTCTCTTTCTCTTTCTCATCGTTAGATGAATATTAATTAATTGAAATTTATGCGTACGATGTGAATTGAATGCACGCGATAACCTGATTCTCTCGTATATACGGATATATACATATAAATGAACAAAAGTAATTTATATAAATAAGTAAATAAATATATATATATATATTTATTTATTTATTTATTTACGTGGACATGCGAGGAACTGAGGTGAAGAACAAAAATATTGTTAATGCTCGCGGGCGAGTTACTAACGCGATATTATGACATTATTATCGATATTACAATATTACGATATGTTGTAAGGACGAGTTGTGTATAGTTACGAGTTGTGTAAGAGTATCCGTTCCGAAGTATCACATGTGTGTGTGTGTGTGTGTGTGTGTGTGCGTGTGTGTGCGTGTGCGCGCGCGTTACGTTGCAGTACGGTTTGAATCGTTTAATGTTTGGTGACGGTGGTGTATTTTTGCCGCACGGCTGACCATACTCGTATTGTATCTACTGCGAAAAACATGCCGCGTTCAACACTATCCATGTTAATTAATTCCATGATAAAAAGAGGGAAAGCAAAGTTCCGCGACCTATTCCCGATAACCTATCGATAATGATCGATGTATATTGATTACTTTTATTTTGTTATCACTTTCAAATGCGCACGTTTTAATACGGAAACATTACGGAATATTTCAGAGGAAAGTGCAAGTAAGTATTTATCTTTGTAACTGCTATTCAATCTAATAGCTGCGATGCATATTATTATTCAATTAATTACGCCTTGATAAGAACAAGAAACGCACATTAGCATTTTATTTTCAAACTCATCGAGTTGTTTACTTTTATCGAAGTGTTATCGATTTTATCGAGTTTTATATGACATACGCGATATATATTACGCGATATATATTATCGAAAAAAATTAACTAATTCAGATAGGAGATGATTGTTTTGACGACGTAGACGTGTAGGGAAGTGTTCGTTATTTACACATGTATCCTGCATCGTAGATCATCGCGATCGGAAGTCCACCCGCAATGCGGGGCTCACCGTCACCGAACGAAATGCGCGCGAGGGAGAATACGGTGGGATATACGGTATCTTTCATTCCATTCGATTCCAAGGTGTCGTAGTAATATATCATAGAAGCGTAATTCTCTAAGTGACCCTCTCTCCCGGCCTCCCGCTCCCTCCCTCCTACGTGGTCGGTCGCCAGGCGAGTGGCTTGTCTACGCGGTCGATCGTTAGTCTTTTTTGTAAATGAGAGTAAGCGAATAAAAATAAATATATACATATATATGTATATATGCATATATATATATATATATATGTATATATATATAATATTCACAGTGTCGAGGAATAAAGGAAAAATGATCATTCTGCCGACGACGACGACGAACTATCTGTGTGTATGTGTGAGAGAATTTCCCTTGCGTGTTAATTAGTTTCATCGATAATGGACAACGGAAACAATCGGAATATCTACGTAGGCTCATATAAACGTGTAGGATATGCACGTAAAAGATGGAGGGGCTAATCGACAGGCGACTAGATAGAAGCGTCGAAGTGAATTTGCATTTAACCGCCATGATTTTCTCGTGACTGCGTCTCTCGCGATCAGAATAAACTGCTCGGCTGACTGTTTCTACAGTCAAACGTTAAATATATTGGGTGTACAAATTAGTTCGGTCCGTTTTCAAAAGATGGCTCCGGCTGTTATGAATGGTTCGTAGTTTTGGCGGTTTCAGAGAAGTTAGACATCCGCCAATAATATTCACTTTATATCGTTTTGAGTTTCATGCAAAAACCTTGCTTTTTGCAGTGTTGAAAATGTCGAATTTTGTGTTAACCAAGCAGCAGCTGCTTGGGAGGTTTTAATTTTCTGCTTTAGTTGGAAGAAAAGTGCAGCTGAAGCCCATCGAATGCTTGTTGAAGTTTATGGTGACGCTGCTGCAACTGATAAATCATGTAGGGAATGGTTTCGACGTTTCAAGGATGGAGATTTCAGCGTCGAAGACAAGCCTCGCTCTGGACAGACAAAAAAATTCGAGGACAAAGAATTAGAGGCATTGCTCGAAGAAGATCAGAGCCAAATCACGCGAGAGGAGCTTGCAGAAGCATTGGGAGTGACTCAACAAGCCGTTTCCGTACGATTGAGAGACATGGGAATTATTCAAAAACAAGGAAATTGCGTGCCTTATGAACTGAAACCGAGAGACGTTGAAAGGCGTTCTTCATGACAACGCTCGACCTCATGTCGCAAAAGTCGTAAAAAAATATTTGGAAACGCTCAAATGGGATGTTTTACCGCACCCGCCGTATCCTCCGGACATTGCTCCTTCTGATTACTGGTTGTTCCGAAGGATGCAGCACGATTTGGCAGGTCACCGGTTCACTTCTTTCCGCAGATATCGAAAATTGGCTCCAAACTTGGATCGCCTCAAAAGACGAGAGTCATTTCTTCGAGATGGAATTCGAAAATTGCCTGAGAAATGGGAGAAAGTGGTAGCCAGCGATGGAAAATACTTTAATTGATCTGTTCATTCATTTCGTTTTGAAATAAATACATCTTTTAACACAAAAAAAGCGGACCGAACTAATTTGTACTCCCAATATACTTGTCGTTATAAATTCACGATGAGTGAATCGTGCGCTTATTATAAAGTATTACACTAGTCGCATATAATAAACTCTAAGATTTGTACAAAGCGGACGAAACGATCTCGGTTCTATCGAGGCTCTCAGTTGGCTCACTAACTTTCCGGATGTTGAGGTATATTTTGCCGCCCAACGGTGACGCGAAGGAGGCTTTCGGGTCTAATATAATCGGTATCATGGTCTTTTCGCACGGCGTCACTTCGCACTTGCTGAAGATCTTGATGAGCGCCAGTTTCGTCGTCAGAAGCCCGAAGCGAGTGCCTGTGGACAATGATCAACGGCTATAATTCGCTCATCCTACGGGTGCAACACCCGTGCAACAACCAAATCAAATAATACGCTCCGATCACGCATATCGAAGCCATCCCGTCGTCGACCCATTGTCGAAATGAGAAAAAGATTTGCTCACCTATACACGCGCGTGGACCTTCTCCGAACGGGAAGTAGGCGCACGACGGTATATTGCGTTTGTTCTCCTCGTTGAATCGTTCCGGATCGTACTTCTCGGGATCGGGGAAGTATTCCGGGTCATAGTGCATGCCGAGCATCGAGATGTAGATCGGCGTACCTTTCTCGATTACGAGATCAGAATTCGGCATTTTGTAAGTCTCCACTGTCGTGCGGTCCAAGAACGGTAACGTCGGGTACTTCCTCAACGTTTCGCAGACCACCATGTCGAGATACGGTAGCGATAGAGTCTGACGATGAACAGATATCGTTTGTGTCATTTGCTAAATTTGTGAGATTTAATGTTTGGGAATAATCGAAGAAAGAATAATTTCTCCGAGGACAGTTTCAGCAAGAGGAGACTCATTCACCGTTGATGTTGACGGATAAAAATACCGAGTCCGTAGCGGACTCAGCCCTCCTATGATTTTGACCTTTACGTACACGTACGAAGAGTGCTCGGAACGCTCGGAACGCCCATATGTAAAGCTCGAAGTCATAGAAGGCGGGTCTTACTCTCTTATTCGGTATTTTTAACCTATTAATTCGCGTATTGATTTCTTCGTTGTTGCCGTGAAAATTGAATTAATCGACGAGCGACAGAACAGTGAATGATATTCATTTACCATGTCGTACGTGATTTCTCCATTGGTCTCGTCGAGCGCTTCGATAATTTCCTTTCGCAGCCTCGTCTGGATTTCAGGTTGTACAGCGAGCTCATATAACGTGAAAGCCGTCACTGTTGAAGAGGTCTCGAAACCGGCTGCGAAGAACACAGCCGCTTGCGCTACCAGGTCGTCCCCGTCAAATTCTAAAATTTCATTCCACTTATGAGAGTCTCGGAAGTTTCCTTCGTACATCCGTCGTCGTCGTCGTCGTCAATTAAAACTGTACTCTCTCTCGCAATGGAAATCTCTCTCCGGGGTTTAATTAGAATTTAATTATCTCCTCTGGGGAGTATATGTGTGAGTGTGTATTCTCCTTTTAATTTATATACGTTTTAAATTATTACGTCAGTCTTTTTTCTCTTTCATCATCTCTATTTTATGTAATTTTTGAAGTTTTGCGAGCTCGAGAAGCTTTATTTGAGACGCATGTATCGCTATTTCACTTACTGAATCCCCCGATGTCCTGATTGTTGTGAGTTTTCTTCAGTTCAATGAGAATGTCGATGAGATCGTTTCTCTTCTCGCCGGATTCCATGCGTTGAAGCATCGTCTCCCAGAAGGCTTTGCGCAGGAAATCGGTGCTTTCTTTGCCGAACATCTTTACGCCGGTCAAACGGACCAAATTCGGCAGGAAAAATACCGCGAGGATCTCTAAGCCGCGGAAGAAGTCGTAGTGGAACATCTTCTTGCCGTACTTTCGGAACTCGGCGTCCGGATTGTTCAACGAGTTCACGTTGAGCCCATAAGCGGTGCTTGCAATCACGTCCGTGGTGAACTTGGCGCTTAATTCTTTCACGTCCAACATTTTTGAGCTACCTGTCGGCACAAACGTGTTACGTTTCGATCTACCGTTTGAGCTACCGTCGCGCTGTTGTTCTCTATTTGTCGGAGCGAATACGGCGAAATTGTATTTTCCAATTGCTAAGAGCGGAAAACACGCCATTTTTCTCACGCCGTCTTTCCCTCCGGACAGATTTCCGGAGATTCGGTTCGGCATTGCGCGCTCCTACGATTCAACGAAATTTACTTCTTTTTCGCAAACTTTTTCTCCCTTTCCCTCAGATCTTTAAATTAAAAGCGTATCTATCTTATCGATCTTATCGATTCTAGAAATCGTTCGGTATATACTTACCCTCTAATTTTAGCGAGTTGATATATATGTCTAGATTATTGCCACACTCCAGCATCAGTCCGAACATTTTCTTCAGCTTGCCGGACGTGAAGATCGGTGTTAATTTCGTCCGGAGGATTTTCCAGGCAGGATTTTTGATGAAGAACAAATTGGCGTAACCTAATCGGTCGTTCGTGTCCGGTGTGCCGTACCGGTCGGAGAAGTGATTAAAGTCCTTCACCAAGACATTCTTCACGAGCTCACGGTCGCACACCAGCAGGCTCGGCTTGTCGAAAACATAAAACCCTATGTAGGGCAGTCCCCTGGCGTGGTTGTAGAGATCCTTCATGAAGTATCCCGGGTTCTTCTGCATGAGCATGCATTCCGTGAAATTTCCTATGAACGGCACCGGCGACACTTCCAAAACGCCACGTCTCTTCCAGTACTTGAAGTTGCGGGTCATGTAAAGGTAAGCGGCCACCATGAGAGTCGTCAGCAGTATTATGCCGTCCAGGCCCCAGTGATTCGTTATTAGAGTCATTTTCCTGCTCTGAGAATATCGGCTGTTGCGTTTTTATATACACTGCTAAATATATTTGGAGATTTCGCCTCGCCAAACTAGCAGGCTGAGTTAGCAGCCGAGGATCGAAGGGACAATTGGTCGACGCTTGCCCTCGAAAAGTCGATCGATTCGAGCGGACTCGCCGACTTGTGAAAGAGTGAAATTTATTGAGAGTGAAAGGAGCCGTTAAGTCTCCTCCGCAAGGCTCACTTAGAAGCGGGAGTGGGAAAAGCTCGTGCGGAGAAGCTCGTGCAATGATTTTTGTGAGAACAGCGGAATAAGAATCTGCGTCGTATTTGTGATTCGCTTTTATACGTTTTTTTATCTTTGTTCTCACTGCCTTATGATTTACTTGCCTGTGATTATTTTATCTGTGCAATTCATAGAAATTGCATATATTTATTGCTAATGATAGGATGTTAAGTAAGTCGCGTGAGAGTATTCGCTTCGTATGCATATAAGGTCATCAATGTCGCTTCTTAATGAGTTTTAAAAGTTGAACCACATGTTTCGTGATAAAGTCAATTAAATAAATTATACATTAACAATGATAAAAATAACGACACAGTCAACAATTTTTTAAGTGATAAAATTACTACTCTTCGGTATGATAATATGCACCTATCAATGGAGTAGGAAATATACTGCGTATTTTAAACACCTGCGGCTTTGGACCAATTATGGAAATCTACATGAATATTATAGAAAAGAGGAAAAATATCTATTTTACATATTTTGCACTATTTTGCAAAGTGTCCGCTTAGAGGCCATATAATAGTTGGTACTTAACTCATAATAGATACTTAATTCATAATAGGCGCATAATAGATCTTCCCGTATCGAGCTGTTTTACTACGCAGAAAGACAGCGGAAAGGACCTGGGAAAATAAAATACGAGTTAAGTAATGTAAGATATTTTATTTTCAATAGCGTGCAAAAATCTCATGGAAATTATACTTAACAACCATTTCCGCAAGTTTCAACGTCCCACCGTCCTTCCGTGTAAGGCTCGCGCCTTAGCAATTAGCTATTTAGTATTAACAATTTAATACTGATATGTTTCAACGAGGCTGTTGAAACGTGTTTGATGTTGAGTTAGATTCGTTTTCGGATTCGAAATACTTGATTTATAAGAATCACAGTAGATATATATGAAAGCGTTATGTGTGGAAATTTTTATTCATTCCTAATGATATTCATCATGTACAAACATACAGGGTGTCCCATTTAACCTGACAAATCGTAATATCTGGAAAACTACATGTCGGATCAAAGAAAGTGGGTAATGAAATTTGTTCGTCTCGAAGGGGGACATCCAATGATATGAAACTCGACCTCCCACCCCATTCCCGGGGGGTGGGGGTGGGGGGCAACTTTGAAATCTTAAATGGGAACCCCAATTTTTTATTGCAGATTCGGATTCTACGCCACAAAATACATAAGTTTCGTCCGAAACTTTTTTCTCTGATTCGTGATAGATGGCGCTGTAATCGCAAAAAATTAGATTTCCTGCAATTCTCCAGAAATGATCATTGGATTGAAAAATAAAAAAAATACCTGTTCAATATTTTTAAAAATATTTTTGAAAAACATAATAACAGTTATTCCCCCCCCCCCATCCCCTCGGAGTAGGGTGGGTGGTAACGTTCAAATCTCAAATGAGAACCCACATTTTTCATTGCAGAATTAGATTTTACGTGAAGTTTTTATGGAAACAATTCTTTTCATTCGTGATAGACAGCGTTGAATTTTTCCGAGAAACTACTTTTAGCGTTACCCAGGAACAACGACGAGAACGTAGTAGCTTTCTGTTCCCTTCGGGGTGCTTGTTTTGGGTGAGTCCCCTCGCCTCTCACCATCGGGCGAGGTCAAATGTAATCTTAAAATAAAGAGACGGAAAATCCCGTTAAAAATTATGGGAATATTGTGTGACTCGTTATCGTTTTCTCGATAGGCACTTTTCACGCCGTAATTGTTACTTGTATAGTTAATGATGTGGTCGTAAACGTCATCGTTACATGTGGAATTGTGAGAAAAAGTTCTTACGCAGCATTTCGTAACATGCTTATGATTCATTGTTATTGGATAAGTGATTAATTAATGAAATTTTATAAGAGAATGAGTACTGTGTTGCGCTCGAAGATTTGGGTTGTGTTATTTTTCGAAGACAGAAAGTATGTTAGATAATCGTGATATGAATCACGTCACACGAGGTCATGGTAGCGAATCAAACATGTTATCGCATACTCGACATTATCAACAACACTCATGCGACGCAATCTGACGGTAGTTCCTCCTTCAAAAATAGCAATTTTGGTAATTCGAGAACCGGAAGAATTCCATTATGAAATTTCAGTTAATTAAAGTTGTGTTTATCGTGTGGTCACAAAGCTGACAACAGCTATAGAATGCTGCTCGCGTGTTCTCGCGGACAATATCTCGTTGTATTAAAGTTCTGACAATGTTATCAAGTCATGCCTGGATGAGATTAGTATACTTAGTTACAATTACATAATATCTTATATAATGAGAGAATGGCGATGCTTGCACGACGATGCTTGCACTCTCTTCTATCGGAATTGTAGGTTTGCCCGGGAGTTATCATTTATGTAACATTGCACGAAGTGGGACTAGGGAAAACAATTGTTGATAACGTAGCCGAATTATATCAAATTTTTTAACGAACAAGATGACCGGATAATGACACGATAATACATTCAATTTCCCAATGAATCTCGAGTTTTTAAAGTTTCTACAATTTTTTATTGTTTCGTCGTTTAATGTCTACCGATTTTTTAAAGGTACCTGGTATTTTTAAAGCGTCTTTAAAAAAAAGTGTGCAAAGGTATTCAAATGATCCTAACGCGTGAACATTTGTGAACATTTTAAAAGGAGGTAATTAGTTCATTTCTGATTCTGCTGAATTATACGTTTGTAAATGTAACAATAACAATACTTTTATAAAGTGCAATGTGAGGAGATAACATAAAGTGAGATTCGAGAGATTTCGTTTTATAATATATTTTGTGTATAATATATTTTGTGTAACAAACATGTAAATATCATTCTCTTATAACAACGTACTTGTCATTAACATATTGTGTGTTAACATTTTTCTTTATCACAACTTTTTCGAACGTATGTACTTGGAAAATGTTAGTGAGTTGAATATTTTATTTAGCATTTGTGTCAATTTTCCGTATGTTGAGATACAGTTTCATGTCCACCGGTGCAGTTACAGGATTCTTCGGATCTAATACCATCGGTATGGCTGTCTTTTCGGAAGGTGTCACCTCGTATTGGCTCAACAATTTTATGATTCCCAGTTTGGTTTGCAGCTTTCCCAAACGATTTGCTGCAGAGTACACAATCAGTTGTGAGATCTTGCAAAAGGGATTCTGTCTCATATATATCGAAACAAAAAATAATTATTCTTACCTATGCATCCGCGAGGACCTTCCCCAAATGGCATGTATACGCACGACGGTATGCTGCTCTTGTTCTCCTTACTGAATCGTTCTGGATCAAACTTCTCGGGATCGGGGAAATATTTCGGATCATAGTGCATGCCGAATAACGAGAAAAAAATCGGCGTACCCTTTTCAATAACTAGATCGTGGTTTGGTATTTTGTAATCTTGCATCGCTTTGCGATCTAAGGTCGCCAATATTGGATATTTCCTCAATGTTTCGGCGATCACCATCTCAAGGTAGGACAATGATAGCACCTGAAATCATTGTATGTCATTCTTACTTACGTACTTGTATCAGTCGTAAAATTGTGGAAGGTGTTGAAGAACTAAACCTAAAGAAAACGTTGATTTTTCTTCTCACAGTTTTTAATATTATAAAATGCTCGTGTGTTTCGTTTAAGTATTTGACACGATGGTAGAGAGTATATTTATACATACCATGTCGTATGTAATTTTTCCTTCGTTCTCGTTAAGTACATCGAGAATTTCTCTTCTAAGTCTGTCTTGAATTTTAGGTTGTACCGCTAATTCGTAAAAGGTGAAGGACATTGCCGATGCGGTAGTCTCATAACCGCCCGTGAAGAAGATGGCCGCTTGCGCTAATAAATCATCTCCGTCAAATTCTAAAATTTACACCGAAATAATTTTAGTATTTTTGAAACTCACTCTTTCTCTTTTTGTATGATACTCCTAAAATTGATAATTGATCAAATCTTCTCGTATTTTGATATAACTCTTACATCACAAAGTTTATAAAGCCTATATTTATCTAAGGTAAGGAATGTTTTAAGTTTATCGTAATCGGCTGGTTTTGTTGAAAAGTCACATTAGAGAGGTTAACCAAAGGTTTTTTTTTCCGTGAACGAACCGCTGGTATGGAAAAACCATTATCGTATATATTTATTTTCGTATATCGTATATATACATTTTACTTACTGAAATCTTCAAAATCTTGATCCTTGTACTTCTCCTTCAAGTCGATAAGAGTGTCGATCACGTCATTTCGCTTCTCACCAGACTTTAGGCGATAGTTGATTGTTTCCCAAAAAATTTTACGCAATAAGTCTGAGGTTTTCTTTTCGAAAAATCTTAGAGAGATGTAACGAGATAATTGAGGATAGAAGAACACCATGAGCAACTTGAATCCACGAAGTTTATCAACTTCAAATATTTCTCTCGCTGTTTTACGGAGTTCGCATTCTGGATTATTTATCGCATCAATATTCAGTCCAAAAGCGATGCTACAGATCATGTTCGTCGTTATATCAGTAGTAAAATCTTTTACATCTATCTCCTTTGTTTCACCTGACGGCAAATATTCCGAATTAGTATGTTTAGAGCAATAATCTCTACCCTCTCTCAAATAGTAGTATATTTTTAGTACAACAAGTAAATACATGAAAGTTAACCAATTTTTAACAATTTTTTATCAATTTTCATAATTGTCTTAATCTTGTGAACCTGTATATTTCTATTTAATTAACTATTCGTAAATTTGGTGAAGTACTTACCGTTGAATTCTATTTTATCAATATGTGAATCTAGATTGACAACGATTTCCAACAATAAGTCAAACATTCTTTTCAGCTGTTTAGACGTGAATATCGGCGATAGCTTGTGCCTCACAATTTTCCAAGTTGGATTTTTCATTAAGAAGACGGAAGACCATCCGAGACGATCCTCTTTGCCAGGTGAGCTGTAATGGTCGCAGAAATTTTCGAAATCCTTCACTAGTATGTGTTTGATTATTTCTGGATGGCGTATCAGTAAACAAGGTTTTTCAAATATGTAAAAGCCTACGTAAGGCAATCCCTTGGATTCATTGTAAAATTCCTGTATGACGAAAGCGGGTGCTCGCTTTTGTAGCAAACAGTCCATAAAATTTCCCACAAATGGCAACGGTTTTATCTGGCTAACGCCTCGTTTCTTCCAGTAATTGTATTTGCGAATCATAAAGAGGTATATTGTTACGATTGTTACCGTCAGAATCAATATGTAGTCTAAAATCCAATAACTCGTGCTTATCGCCATTTTAGTATACTTATCTACAAAAAAATATTCCACTTTATATACATATTTGAAGATGCTGAATAGCGGCTTGGTAACATGATGTATTATCAGGAGAAAAATTATTGGCATTTATTGTGAAGTTGCCTAATTAATCTTGTCTTAATTAATTTTCCCTTTGGAATTGTCTAAATAAATAAATCGTCAAATTGTCACAACATCACATTATTTCTTAAAGAAGTTGCGTATGAAAATATATAATATTTGTAAATAATATTTGTACTTATTAAATGTCTTTTCCCGCGTGTGCAGAAACTACTCCTAAAATTTTTAATTAATTAACAAGATTCGAATGTGTGTTGTTTGTCGCATGTGATGATGTAATTTTAAAACTATCCGACGCAAACATCCTCTGTGACGCAAACACTTGTTCAGAGTTGACATTGAGGAATTACCAGTGTATTATACATATACTGAGTATAAGCATATCACGTAAATATTTACGTAATTCAAATCGTGACCAAAAATCACGAAATAACGATCCTTTTCACGAAGTAAGAATCCTTTTATACATAGGCAATATCAATGATCGAGTGTGAGTCTATGTGAGTTGTCACTTTGAATTTGGGTGCGAATATGTCTAAATAACGGTTAGATGGATTCCACTGGTTTCGAAGTGTCTCGACATAAACGTTACGAAACCTGAAAAAAGAAGACAGGAATTTCAAAGAAATATTAGAAGAGACAAAGAGAGAGAGAGAGAGAGAGAGAGAGAGAGAGAAAGAGAGAGAGAGAGAGAGAGAGAGAGAGAGAGAGAGAGAGACTTGTAAATAGGCGACAATTACTTTCTAACCATCTTCTTCTACAAGTACCTAAGAGCGATGCATATTACGTAACAACCGATACACTTAAAAAATTAAAGTTAAAATTTGAAAATTCTAAGAGAATCCACGCGAATTAGAGTTATCGGATGAAAAATCGATAACAATTTTGGGACAAATAAGCTGTTTAACTGATCTTTGTAATCACGCGCGAAGAAAACACATCTGATAATGATTTAACGCGAAATTATAAAATGGAGTAAGTCGTCACACTACAAATTACATACTGTTTCTTCAACTCTTCACGTCTATATTTAGTCTGCTCAGTTGCAAAGGACATACAATGAATATCTCACGACTTTTATGATAATTTACTAACATAAGATGAAATATTAAGCATAAGATAAGATTCTGGGTCACACATGTATACAAGGTGTCCCATTTTAATGTCCCACCCCAAACAAGTCTTCTGAAGTATTGAAGTTTCAAGGAAAATGATCTGAATAAAAGTTGTAGGGATTTAAGTGAGCTACCTTATGATGACCTTGACTTTGATCTTGACCTCTATTTTCAAGGTTGTTTGAAGGTCAACTTGCGTTTTTCAAAGGGGAGCCCTTATTTTTTATTACACTGTTCTTTTCTGCTAAGTTAATTTGAACAACTTTTGTCTAAAACATTTTTTTATTTGTCTAATATTTGTTGAGATATTTGAGGAGAACTTGATAACTTTTTCAATATTTAACTTACGAAATCTCGCTAACTATTTGTCGGAAGAAAAAGTGGTACTGGACTTTCTTGCTTTATTTGTTGATTTTTGGAAATTTTAAAATCATCAAATTAACAAAAATCAAGGCACTATTGTAACAATATATTCTCGAGATTAAATAAAGCAAGAAAGTCCAGTACCACTTTTTCTTCCGACAAATAGTTAGCGAGATATCGTAAGTTAAATATTGAAAAAGTTATCAAGTTCTCCTTCAATCCCTACAACTTTTATTCAGATCATTTTCTTTAAAACTTTGAAACAATACTGAAGAATTATTTGGGGTGGGACATTAAAATGGGACACCCTGTATACATATATCACTCAATACTGCGTATATGAAAGGAATGATATGTTAATGCATTATTTTTTACTTTATGAACCATTTGAAATGCCATTAAATGATTGGAAAAATATTTCTTCTGCTTGTAAACACAATATCGATGATTTGATTTACGTGCAATTACGGGAACACGCTTGAATGCTTGAAAATATATTTATCTCAAACAAGTGTTGCGCTCAATCTCGCACTCGCGCTTGCACTCAGGCAAATGAAAACACTCGCGTAAGAATACTAAGCTTTACTATTCACAGCATAGCTCACTCAAGCCTTAAACAAGAATAATTCTCTACAGCTTCTAAACTCTCGCGTCTGTCTACGATGACTGCTTGCCGGAGACTCCCTCAGCTGTTGTTGTTTTCTATTTATCGATTTTCCGTCGTCGAGACAATCCTCGCTCAGCTATCAAAATCAGCATCAGATGCTTAAGGCTCACGGACAACGGACGCTGCCACAAACCTTGTGGCTCGGACACAACACTTCTTCATTTGCCTGAGTGCAAGCGCAAGTGCGAGAGTGAGCGCGACAATATATAAATCTCGAATTTATATAGAGAATTTATATATTTATTTATATCCCACTTTAATTTAAATTAAAAATTACATTTATTTAATTTAACTATTAATTTAATTTGATTTAAGAATTACAAGCTTACCTAGATGCACACTTAGATCGCACTTTAATTTAAAGCTATTTTGATGTGAAATGTTTTCACATCTTCTGTTTTTGATCTCGGACAAAATTTATCGCACTAGTACTGAAGAGATTATTGCAACACAACGGCTGTAACATGTTTCTATCGATATTAAGATGATCGACATTAACGACTGAGTTTTATGTTCAATAATTAATATTAACTATTGCAAAAAATACTAACAACTTGTAACACCACTAACGTATTTAATAATAACACCACTAACGTATTTAATAATAATGCCAATACGATGAGCAACGAAGCTGCTTAGACGAACAGCGTCGAGTGAGTAATGTCGAGAATCCATTCCGCACTTCTCTTTATATATCTCTGTAAGAATGCGCTTCAGTAATTTTTTTGTTTCGTTATGTCGTCAAGTATTATTAGCTTAGTGCTAGTTTATCATATATATTTATGAAACTGCGGATTTTTAAAGTAAATTTTTAATAGATTCAATGACAAAAATTATCTGCAAACGTGACAAATGAAATCTTCATTTATGCATTCTTTTACGTAATATTATTTACTATGGCAAGATAACATTGTTATAACTTGCTGATGGCTTTGCGAAGTATTATATGCGTCACGTTCAACGTCGCGTATCGTTTAACGTTACACGTGAAATGATTCTGAAAGTTAACTTGATTGTTTTTTGTATAACTATAAAATAAGCATTTTGCATAATCATAAAATGGGAATTATATATTTGTAAAATTTACATTTCTTCGATGTTTGATTTGATATCGTTGTTCAAAGTACCACTCTTGTAAATAACTTGATACAAAGAGAAGTAAGGAAATATAATACAACGTAGTATATATTTCGTTGTAGAATTTTTTACTACCTGCTATTTTTTTATAAAAATTTAAATAATGGTACTTGTTATTTCATTATGAATAATTGATAGTGGTCGTTGTCGATTCGAGAGATATTATGACTTCTTTTTCTATGGTTACGCAACATACGATACTTGGTTACCCAATAATCTTGGTAAAGATAATAACACTGATTATATTTTTTTATATAAAATATTGACTCTACAACCGATCGAAGCAAAACGTACAGCGTAGTATTTTATTGAGAATTTGCATGACATTAATACATTTAACATAATTATACATAATTAATATAATTGCACGTTTCCGGCAGTATGTATTTCGGCTGAAAAGATGTCTCATATTTCACAATTTATGAAAAGAAAAAAGAACGATCTCTCTTTTTCACTCTCTCTTTCTCGCAAGGAAAAATTTTGAGCAAAGCAAGGAAATTCCTATCATCTACGAATTCAACAAAATTATGTAATACTTTTGGTACACTTTGACATTAACTTTACTTCTCATCTTAAAGTTCCACATATTTTTGGACTAATTAATATATTTATTTTACATATGTATAAAGAGACTTAATTTCTTTTTAATATTTCCATGGCTTTTAAAGCAAGTGAAATTATAAAATAATAAATAAAACAAAAAGATTATTATTGATTATGTGATGGTTACACCTTGACGTTCGCCAGTGGGATCGGCCGGCACACGTGGCTACGCGATTGATTCGTAATGCGTCTGCGATAAAGAATAAAGAGTGCTTTTCATCGGTTGTTATTAAAAAAAGATTCTTCGCCAGTTGCTGTCGTATTCGGGCGATTGTCCTAGTTTTATTTATTTTTAACACAAACTGTTGCCCCACTCCGGAGGGACCAGATATATTTTACAAACGTTGATTATTATGCATTTATACAGTAAAGAAATGCACTGTAATTATCTGGTTATCTTATAACCTGGGATAGATAAGCGTGAATACTATTTACAACACTAGACATAGATCCCCGCAATATGTAATACGGAACTTATTCCAAGAAGTATGGAAATTACATTATGCTATTACTACGGTCGAGAATTCTGATCAAACTTATATTACGGCGGAATATGACCACTTTTGCTACTAACTGCGAGACTTATGCAACTACAGTACAACACAGGATGCTGCTTACCTATATCGGACGAACACACCGGACTCTGGTCTGGCCGGATGGACCCGTCGCATTGATTATACTGTTTGCACGAAAAGTACCAAAGCGACGAACATACTGCCCGGACTTGGCGAGACGAAAAACGTTGCGGCGATTATATTACTTATATAAGAGTATCGTTAAGTTATCCAATCTCGGCGAACACAGAGTTCGAATCTGCTGGGATAGATCAATGGGATCGATAATCTATCTGTAATCTAGCTGTGCAGATCATGGTGTAACGGCATGATAAGACAGACGGGCTGCTATCTCCTACACAAATGATAAATAATTAATATTTCATTTAGTCAGTGCCAGTATACAGAGTGGGGCAATCACTATTAGGACCTTAAGTACCTTCGAATCTATAAGGGCGAGAGGAAGACTTGCTGATTTTTGGAAATTTTAAAATCATCAAATTAACAAAAATCAGGGCACTATTGTAACAATATATTCTCGAGACTAAATAAAGCAAGAAAGTCTAGTACCACTTTTTCTTCCGACAAATAGTTAGCGAGATATCGTAAGTTAAATATCGAAAAAGTTATCAAGTTTTCCTCAGATATCTCAACAAGTATTAGGCCAAAAAAAAAATGTTTTAGACAAAAATTGTTCAAATTAATTGGTAGAAAAAGACAGTGTAATAAAAAGTTAGGGTTCCCATGTAAAAAACGCAAGTTGACCTTGGTATCTCCGAAGCGCCTCCACCTGGACAAAAATTATTATCGTTATATGATAGCTCGTATCTTCGTACCGTGCAATTTTGATTACACAAATCTTCCTCTGGGAGTCTTATAGACTCGAAGATATTTAAGGTCCTAATAGTTATTGCCCCACACTGTATTTTGCTGGCGGCTCCTAGCGTCGCATTTAGAATTTCGTTTCTGTTAACCGCTCGTCTTGCAACTGAATCGCTCGGTAAAGCTTATTTACTTATGCGAATTCTGGCTTGACTGGTGAATTTCTGGACTTATTTTCGAAACAGTATCGATTATGCCTCCTGTGTGATTGATTTGTTTATTTCGATGACTGACTACTTATCGCATTTGTGTAGACGTAGTTTTGTAGAGACTTTACATAAGTCTAAATTGATCTCTTTAGACAACTCGGACTTTAGACAACTCGGTTGATCAATCGGTTTCTCTCGATAAATTATTGAGATTAGCCGATTTATTAAGACCTGATTATCGTGATGTAGTAGGCGCGATAGTTTGCACTGTTCGAGGGGATGACGAGATAACCATTTTTAGATGATGACCAAAATTTTGATTATCGTAATTAGATGTAATTCAAACGACGCACGAAGAAATGTGTTCAAATACTTTGGACAATGTGTGCGTGGCAGGAAAAATGTATATCAATAGTAATCAATAAAATATATACTTGTTTACGTACTCATTATCTAAAAGTTACATATATTATTCGTGATTGAAATGAATGTTTAATCAACTACGGCGATATAATAGAAGGAAAAGAGTGTGTAAAGAAAAGAAACGATATCATGTGATATTTTTATCATTTTTCTATTAAGAGGGGAATATATTTTATATAATTTGATATTATATATAAGTGAGATGTTATGTCACTTAATTCGTGCACAATAAATGATGACAAAGATGTTGACCATATATTAACATGTAATATCGCTAATTTTTATATAATAATTAAAAAGTTTCATTGATTTTGATAATGTGTATTAAGATTGAAATGGATATAATAAAACATATAATCATCATGATTTCGATTATAAGTCTTTCAGAAGATAAGAATTGATGTCAAGGCAAAACGATAACATACTGACGGTAACATATTTGTAATTCTGAACATTCCATTGTCTTGAATTTTGTGTCATTACTGAAACTTTATCGATATAAAAAATGTGTGACGATCTCATTTTGGGCTTTAGATAAAATAGTATATATTAGGTGTAGCAAAAAGAAATCCATTATTTTTCCAATAGATGGCTTTAGTTATCTGTATCTCGCGTTGTATAAGTCCGATCGGGTTCCACTAGATGGCGTTAGAAAGATGAGATTTCGTACTAAAAAAACTTTTCTGACAGTTTTGTGATTAGTTGACTCAATTTTGTTTGAGCGCGCGTCAAAGATGGACACTAGCAAAGAGAAAATACGCTATATTTTACAGTTTTTCTTCGATAAAGGCGAAAACGCAAGCCAAGCGGCTGAAAATGTGAATAATGTTTATGGTCCTGATACTATAACAGCCAATCACGCGCAATTTTGGTTTCGTCGATTCCGTTCCGGTAATTTCGATGTCAAAGATGCACCACGCACTGGAAGGCCAATTCTCGAAAATATCGATAAAATCATGGACATTGTCGAGTCCGACCGTCATGTAAGCACTGTTTCGATTGCCCAAGAGCTAAAGATTGCACAAAAAACCGTTTGGAACCATTTGAATAAGGCTGGATACAAAAAGAAGCTCGATGTATGAGTGCCACACGAGTTAACGAAAAAAGACCTCATGGACCGAATTTCCATCTGCGAATCGCTGTTGAATCGCAACAAAATCGACCCATTTCTGAAGCGGTTGGTCACTGGTGATGAAAAGTGGATCACTTACGACAACGTCAAGCGAAAACGGTCGTGATCGAATCGCGGTGAGCCGGCGGAAACGGTGGCCAAACCAGGATTGACGGCCAGGAAGGTTTTGCTGTGTGTTTGGTGGGATTGGCAGGGAATTATCTACTATGAGCTGCTCCCCTACGGCAAAACTCTTAACTCGGAACTGTACTGTCAACAATTGGATCGTCTGAAGGAAGCAATCGCCCAGAAGCGGCCAGCTTTGGCCAATAGGAGAGGAATTGTGTTCCATCAGGACAACGCCAGGCCACACACATCGATAGTGACTCGCCAGAAGGTCCGGGAGCTTGGTTGGGAGGTTCTTATGCATCCACCTTATAGTCCGGACCTGGCACCAAGTGATTACCATCTGTTCCTGTCCATGGCGAACAATTTTGCTGGTGAAAAATTCGCTTCAAGAGAGGCTTGTGAAAATCGACTGTCTCAACTTTTTGCCAATAGGGATGGGGGCTTCTATGAAAGAGGCATAATGAAATTACCTTCAAAATGGCAACAAGTTATCGAACAAAACGGCGCATATTTGATCTAAATCGAATCATTCTAACTATGGTAATTAAAGCCTTCAATTTCATGCAAAAATAATAGATTTCTTTTTACTACACCTGATATTACAATTATGAATGCTGAATATGCGCTAGGTGCGCAACTAAGTTTCCAGGTTCTTTTGATCAATGAAAAATGGAAAATTTCAAGAGAGATACAAAAAATGGTTTATTCAAAGTATCGTCTCTCGCTAGCTACACATTTTTGCCATCCCTCTGGCAATACATGAATACCGCGACGATAAAACGACGCGTCTTGTGGACCGAAACCATTCATCCAACCAATTTTGCGCTTCTTCGAAATTGGCCAAGTGTTGGCCAGCCAAGCCATGCGCCATCGACCGGAACAAGTGATAGTCGGAAAGGGCCAGGTCTGGAGAATACGGCGGGTGCGGTAGCAGATCCCATTTCAGCGTTTCGATGGTGTCCTGGACGATGGAAGTGCGATGGCACGGAGCGTTGTCGTGCTGCAATATCACTCGCTCGTGTCTCGTGTCCCATTCTGCCCGTTTTTCGAGCAATGCATGGTTCAAATTGATCAGTTGTTGTCGGTAGCGATGCCCGTTGACACTTTCGCCCGGCTTCTCTTCAGCAGCTCACAGTACACGATTCCTTTCTGGTCCCACCAAATGCAGAGCATTGTCTTCTTCCCGAAGCGATTTGGCCGTGCCGTCGATGTTGATGCTTCGCCAGGTGAAAGCCACGATTTTTTGCGTTTGGGATTCTCGAAATATATCCACTTCTCATCGCCAGTAACAATTCGATGCAGGAAACTCTTTCTTTCATGCCGCAAAAGCAAAATTTCGGAAGTGGCTCTTCGATTTTCCATCTGTCTCTCAGTCAACCCATTTTCCTTCCTTCTGAATTTTCCCATGGCATGTAAACGTTTGGAAATACCTTGGCGAGTCATGTTTAATGCCGCTCCGCAAGTTGATCTTGTGTTTGCGTATCATCTTCATCCAACAACGCTTGCAGATCGGTGTCCTCAATTGTTTTTGGTCTTCCGGAGCGCTCCTTGTTCTCAGTGTCGAAATCGCCACTTCTGAATCGCGTTTAAACCGATTTGTGTTTGTCTTTTTCTTCAATTTCCGTAAATAAGTCGAATTATTAAAAGTTTTTGGTGAATTTTCTCTTGCGATGTGGAAAAACCAATATCAAATGTATTATTAAACATGTTTATCTTACTGAAATCATATAAATCCTGATCAGCGCACTCTTTGTATAAGCGTATCCATGTATAAGACCGTACAATTAAAAGTCTCAATTCGTATTAAACTCTAGAATGATTTTGACAGGTCTTATATCGCAATCGTTAGAAATACTGAAATTATTACGAAAATGTCACTGTCACATTAGATAAATTCTTCAAATTTTAATAAAAAATGACTGCAACCTTATATGTAATCATACATTATCACAATTTTATCTAAATGTTCATTTTATGAAAATATGTGCAAGCTATCTGTGATTATGTAATATACAGAATTAATAATCTGCGTCGAACTGAATAACTACGCAGTCAGAACCACAACGTTGACTCATGAACGTTAGAACACTACGTTGATTCGACGTCGCTGAAGGTTGGATTAACGTTGATTCAACGGTTAATTGACCATTTCAATGTCAAATCAGCGTCGAATCAACGTTATGGTTCTGTCTGGAGTATGTGTTTTTTTATTTAATAAATCTTCCTTCTGTTCTTTGATATTCCTTTAGCTGTTTAACTTACGTTATACGTTTCTTTGTATTTACCCAGAATAAGTCGAATATTTTCTTTTATGGATATACGAATTTAGAAACAAAATGGCATTGTGACATCTTTAGTGAGACACTTTTTATCATTAGATATCATTCGCAGATATTATGTAGATGATATCATAAAGTCAATACTCTCAAGAAATGGATCCAACGTGTAAAATTTTATATACTACTATAAGATACAAAGTAAATATTTTTAAGACTTTTAGGTTACCTAAATTTTATCAAAATGTCACGTTAATTTACGTAATAACACGTGATTAAATCGTGTATCTGATGTTTAAAATGTTCGATAACAGAAAGCAAGAAAGCTATAAAATATGACGATCGCCGAACGATCCAGTATCCAGTATACGTGATCGCTCGCTTAGTCGGTACATTAGTAATTAATATCGAATTCTATTGCGGTACTTTATTATAAAATATCAACATTAACTATAAATAACGTAATATCAATGTTATAATTTTCTACTCATCAATATTAAGATAAAGTAACATCCTGATTGCATCAGATGTTGACCTCAGTGCGAATTGCTCATTGAACAAAAAAAAAAAAAGAAACATTGACAAATATCAACTAATCGAAAATTAATTCTTTTGGGTTGGCAACTAAGTTCCCGCCGTTTTTTAAATTTTTTAAAAGTTTCTTTTTCAATAAAAATTAACAACTAATTAATCAATAATGTATTCTCCCTTGTTGTTTACAACTTCTTCCCAACGTTCAACAAGATTTTCAATACCTCGTTGGTAGAAATCATACGGTTTCGACTCGAAAAATTCATCCAACCAAGCTTTCAATTTTGCATGAGTATTGAACGAAACACCGCGCATAGCATTTGAAAGAGATCGGAAAAGGTGGAAATCCGTTGGTGCCAAATCGGGAGAGTACGGCAGATGTGGCAGCACTTCTCAGCCATGCGTTTGAATGGCTTCCTTGGTCATATTGGCGATATGAGGGCAGGCGTTGTCGTGCAGCAAAAGAACTCCATGCTGCCGATTAGGTCTTTTAACATAAATAAATTAACATAAATTAACTCGAACAAAAAAACAAAACATAGATTCCGGTAGAACAAAACATCCTCTTTCGAATGATCTAAAACATTATGCCAAAAACATTTAATGACATGCGGAATGTTAAAATTAAAAAAAAAACGGCGGGAACTTAGTTGCCAACCCAATATATTGAAAAAATTAATTTGCACAAAAATTGAGTAGAAAAGAATCGATAAAAAGTCTACAGACGTATACAGGCACACACACCGTGGCACAAATTTTTTTCTCTTAATAATTTTTGTAAGCATTGACTATCACCTTTCTGAGCATATCTTTAGTGAAATATTATATGAATTATCAAACACATATTATTATGAGTCTAGAATGATATCATAAAGACAATATTTCAAAGAAGCGGATCCAATCCATAAAATTTTATACGCTGGAACTAGTGTAAGGTATGAGTAAAAATAAAAGACTTTCAAAGTAAAAATTAAATGTAAAGTAAAAGGCTTTTAAGACTTTTAGATTAGCTGATTAGCGTATTATAGATAGCATACTATCTTGACGTGCTCTTATTCCTTAGATTTCTGTCATTAACAACTAATATAATAATTATTGCGAATATCGCAAAGCGGTATGGGACTTTGTGTTTGCCTTAGTTTGTTCTATGTCTCCACGAGCTCTGTAACAAATGAGATACTCTGTATAGTGATATTTGGAGTGATAGTCTGGAAATAGCACGCTATCAATGTTACTGCGTTATTCTCTTTTTATTGCTCCCTTCTAAGCCATATTGCATTGGTTACGAGAAGTAGGTAGTCGGGAGTTGGTAGTCAGGGGTTTTGAGATTCGAGTCTCAACCGAGAACATTGAGATAGATGAAGTTCAATCTCGATAAGCTTTTGTTGCTTGTATCTCCTTTATTCGTTGCAAAACAACGATAGCGTCGGAAATCACTAACATAAATAATCGAAAACGAGCGGGAGTGGGAAAAAAGCGAAATAGGCGTACGCTTATAAGTATGAGCGATTTATTGAGATCTACAGCATCAGTTGTTCAGTTGTTCATACAATATTTTGTTTGATCTATCACACTGCCTTGTAGCCGGAATCATCGTATTAGACGTGCATAAAAATTATAACATAACAGGATAATCAATCTTCAGACATTCTCTGCCACCACTTCAGTTCAGACTTTGTATTATTGCTGGAATGCTACGATAATAATATGGTGTTGCAAAGTTAAAGAAGGATAAATTGAAAATTATACGTACATTTTGCGGTAAGTGAAACATTAACTGGTATATTACCTAGTAAACACCAACTATAAGTAAGTAATGTAACGTCAATGTTATAATTTTCCTCTCATTAATATAAAGATAAAATAACATACTGATTGTATCGAATGTTGATCTCAGAGTAAATTTCTCAAACGAAACAACATTGACGAATACGCATGTCAACGGATCGAAAGTTGATTCTTTATTGAAGGAATTGATTCGTACAAAAATTGAACAGAAAAGAATCGGTTAAAAAAATCGACGGTAAAATTCCCGTTTAAGCGAGGCATCTCCGATAGTCTTGATGTTGGCATATACATTATAGTGTTAAACCTTTCTGAGTAACATACAAAAGATTTTAGCCGTCGCTTATTGTTTATTAAGAAGCAATAGAATTTTCAAAAAGAAACCACGGTTTTTCGACGCCCCGTACATTCCAAAAGTAACATATAACATTTAACATATAACAGAATTTACTGCTCCGTTTGAATTTTAGAAGTCAATACGTGATATGTTTATCAACAAATATTAAGTAGAGAACAAAATTTACTGTTGTGTTTCAGTTGCCTCGGTTAGATTATACGGTTTCAGACGGTTAGATTATAAAATTTTAATATGTATTTACAAATTTCTCAATATGACATACAATTTTGATGCATTGTAGAATTTCTTATGCAAGAAGATTAGATTAGATTAGGTTAAATTAGGAGCAGGTGCCTCCTTTAAACGAAAGTTTAACCAAATCTACATATACACGCACACATTCTGTGGCTCAAATTTTTTTCTGTTTTAATAATTTTTATTATTATAATAAATAATTTTTATAAACGCTGACTGTCGCCTAAAAGTGAAAATAAATCTTTCATGCAAATTTAAAGCGGTAGCCGCTAGGCAGTGCCAACGGTGGATGAGCCAACGTTCTCTTATCATTAAATTCTTGACGTAGTGATATACTTATCACTGACTAAAAGCAAAAATAAGTTTGAACGTCATGAAACATTTTTAAAACTATATACACATAAAAATCAATATTTTTTCATAGATGATTGGCACCAACATAGTGATAACAACAAATAATTGGATATTAAATGGGATAATGGCAGTAATAATGCTGATGATAATAACCGTAGTGGTCGCATATCTCTTTATGACACGCAAATTCAATTACTGGAAGAAACGAGGTGTTTACGAAGTAAAACCAGTGGCATTTTTCGGCAATATGACAAATTGTATATTAGGAAAACGATCTCCCAGCTTTATCTTCAAGGATTTGTATGACAAGACTAAAGGATTACCGCACATGGGTTTATATATATTCGATAAACCTTGCTTATTGTTACGTGACCGGGAAATAGTCAAAGATGTTCTAATAAGAGACTTTGATTACTTCTGCGATCGAACCATGATGTGCAGTCCGACAGATCGACTTGGACGTTCCACACTTCCACTATTGAAGGAACCAACCTGGAAAATTGTGAGGGGAAAATTGACACGAGTTTTCACGTCTCACAAATTAAAGAAAATGTTCGATTTCATGATGGAATGTTCCGTCGATCTAGATTCGTATCTCGATTCGTTGGGATTAGATGGTAAATGCAATACCAAATACAAGAATATTAATTAATATTTTGTCGGTTGCTATTACACATAACTTGATTGAGCTAAGAATATAGCACTGATAATTACGTTATTTATAACTAAGCGATTTCATGAAAAAAATCGGCTGCAGAAGCGATAATGCTTATGAATGTATGAATACCGATAGTGCATTTAAAAGTATTTCCATGAAATATGCAGTCATCAAATTGTTAAGTATACATATGAAGGCTCGAAAGCTTACAAGAAAGTAATATTTAAAATAGAAATCAATCGGTTTCTTTTCTTGTTAACTCATGTGTAACATTAGTAATATATTAGTTGCATTACTGCTTAACAGACTAATTCGGAATATTCGTTGGCAGGTAAAGGAAAGATAGTAGATGTGAAGGATTTATTCATCAATTTAACCACAGACATAATCAGCAACACTGCTTTTGGAGTCAAGATCAATTCGTTTAGAAATCCGAATAATGAGTTCCGTATAAAAGGAAAAAAGACGACCGACTTTACTCTGAAGCGTGGTTTGGAGTTGATAATGGTGTTTTTCTATCCTGAAATAACTCGTTTGTTTAATATAAAATTATTTGGGGCAGGATGTAATAGATTTTTTCGGAAATTTTTCTGGGATATGGTGGAGCAGCGCACACAATCCGGCAAAAAGAGGGGAGATCTAGTCGATATCCTCATTAAACTCAAGGAAGAATTTGCCGATCAGGATTTTAATGATTTCAGTAAGAAAAATACGATTAATAATAATAGCATTTTTACATTACAGGAGAAAATTCTCCAATCGTTCCCAAGAATTTTAACGTTTTTATGTTTTCTCTTGATTAATCGAAATTAAAGATTAAACAGCGAAAGATCAGAAAAATTAGTTAATATAATTATTATAATAAAATATATTATATTTAAAAAGTAAATATTAAAAGATTTGCAAAATTTTTCTTTGTTCATATGAGAGTTTGGAATAGCAACAAGTCAATATGGCAATCTGTTGTTATAAAACTAAAATATACAACGTATACTTGAAAAATATTTTCAAAATATAAAGTTAATAGTGAAGAAAATGTCCGCGGGTTAATTTGATAATTCAGCAATACGAATACAGCTTGTACGAAATCACAGAATTTGACGGAGACGATCTAGTGGCACAAGCAGCTATTTTCATTTCCGGCAGTTTAGAGACCAGTTCAACGACGATGTCTTTCGCATTATATGAAATCGCGATACATCCTGAAGTCCAAAATAAACTGAGGAAAGAAATCCTCGATGCAGTCCGCGAAGCTGGAGGAAAAATTACATACGAGATGGTATATTTGAATATCACATACTATGAACGGTTCATATGAGATATGTTTTAATAGTGAATAAAACGAAGTTTACGCGGGCAACGGTTAATTCCAGTTATTTTCGTAAACGAATTGTTTTCAATATCGCGGATGACTGTTTTCTTGCGATTATTCCTGCATTATATAATCAAGATGTAACAGTTGCCTCTGACTCAAATAATTGTTTAAAAAGGATACTTGTTCATTTTTAGGTTACCATATCGTTACCATATCTCGACATGGTACTCTCCGAGACTATGAGAATGTACCCAGTAGTATCGGTCCTAGACCGTGAGGTAGTAAAGTCTTATAAAATACCAAATTCCGATCTGGTTATCGAAAAAGGTATGTCGGTTTACATCTCATTGCTCGGCATGCATTATGATCCGGAATACTTTCCGAATCCCGAGGAATTCGATCCGGAACGATTCAGTCCAGACAATATTCACAAAATACCGTCGTGCGCATACATGCCATTCGGAGAAGGTCCTCGCAAATGTATAGGTAAGAATGTTGTTTGTGTCTAATGTATCTGTAACTTTATCTATACTTTTCATTTGGACACAAAGGAATTATTACCGATGCACATGATCTCGCATTTTATGTTTAATGAGTCTCTTTAGAATTATTTGGCAAAGTAGAGAAGTATGGGATTTGCGATGTACGTAAATCGATAAATTATGATGACAAAGGAGGAGGGTCCCTAAGGCCCGTTTTCGGCACCCTTCGAAATTAGACCAAAATGGCTGGAATCACTTCCTTATACCCTTGGAATATTAATATTTAGTCAATTCTAGCCTAAATATACTTCAAGTACAGATGGTGCATCAGCGCGCCCGTCAAGCATTTCTTCGGAAAACTAAGCGTTTCTGAGAAAAATGTTTCAGATAAAAGTTGTATGGTTTCAAGAGGGACATAAGATGGTGTCATTAGTTTGACCTTGGATAGTCATTTGAAGGTCACGTGAATGTTGATTTCAATATTTTATATAGAACCCCCTATTTTTACATATCTTGTAGCTTATCTCGAGAGCTTTCCAAAACACTATCGTAGATCACGTAGAAACACTTATTGCAAATACTTCTGAAAGAAATGACTGACGTATTTTTTGCCGCAAGGCTAAATACGAAGGTTTGAAAAGAACTGTTTTAAGAACTGTATGCACTTTTTGGAGCAACTACGATCCCTTAAGCTTTCAATTCAATAGGCCAAGTTCTGCTTATGTCCATGGCCTCATATCGGACCCGATCTCACATCTTAATGTCAGAGATACACAAAATGCGTGTATGCGCGTACCCAGGGACCTAGTTATGATAAAAATAAAACTAGTTCTTGTCAGAGCTGCTTCTCGAGATTTTCTTATTACGCAAAAAGATATCTTGTTATTTTTGAGTTTTTCTTCTTTATTTTTTCTCTTTCTTTAGTTTTTAATCTTGCATAATTATTATATAATATGTATAATATTAATTATTAATTATTAATTATTAATATAATATATTAATTATGTAATATATTATATATTATATTATTATTAATTATTAATTATTAATTATTAATAATTATTAATTATCCAAGGTCAAACCAATGACACCATCTTATGTCCCCCTTGAAACCATACAACTTTTATCTGAAACATTTTTCTCAGAAATGCTTAGTTTTCCAAAGAAATGCTCGATACGGGCGCGCTGATGCACCATGTATACTTGAAGTATACACTCTAAATACTCCCGTTTAGGCTGGAATTGACTAAATATTACTTCCAAGGGTATAAGGAAGTGATTCCAGCCATTTTGGTCCAATTTCGAAGGGTGCCGAAAACAGGCCTTAGGGACTCTCCTCCTTTACGGCAGATAACGTAATCACAAAATACAGGGTGTTTAATAGCTGATCATGCAGACGAAAGTTGGAGATAGATTGGGTGTAGCCGAGAAGAAAAGTCATGTACCATAATGTCAAATTGCCAATAGTTATCGAGTTATTAATTAAAACATGTGAGCCAACGAGCGCGTAGAGAGCGGAGGGCGGCCGCAGTAAGCACGTAGACATTTGATACAGGCGGAGCGAGCGCGAACGACGAGGAGCGAGCGAGCTATGAGGAAAAACCTATAAAGAAAAAGCTCTCGCTCGCTCCTCGTCGCGCGCGATCGCCTCTTGTCGCTTACGTTGCCCCTCGCCGCGCGCGCTCGCCTACCGTCACTCGCTGACTCCGCCTGTATCAAATGTCTACGTGCTTACTGCGGCCGCCCTCCGCTCTCTACGCGCTCGTTGGCTCACATGTTTTAATTAATAACTCGGTAACTATTGCCAATTTGACATTATGGTACATGACTTTTCTTCTCGGCTACACCCAATCTATCTCCATCTTTCGTCTGCATGATCAGCTATCAAACACCCTGTATATTTGTTTTCAGGCATCCGTTTTGGGTTCTTGCAAATGAAATTGGGAATTATAAAAACGTTATATCGATATGAGGTGACGCCATGTGAGAAGACTACGATACCGATGAAACTCAATCCGAAAAGTCCCATAATATCGACGATGACAGGCGAAGTATGTCTAAACATACGGAAACTTGACATTGAAGTATAAGAAGTATTGATTAAAGTCTAACAAACTATTTGTCTCGCATTACTTTGTAAACACTCTTACAATTAGTTTGGTATGCCAAACTTATAAGTTCTGTGCTAATAAAATAATTTTTGAGAGAATATGTTAATAACTACATCGTCGCTATAGTTTAATGTTCAAATTTATGTATGTCTACTTTCATATCTGCTTTTATTTCGCGTTGAATAAATTATTATTATTATTGCGATAATTAATAAAGCTTGTTGTGACTATTGTGATATTAGACAGAGCTATTATTTATGCGGTGTTAACATTGTGTAAATTTAAAAATACATGTAATTTAATTAGATGCTTCAATGTATTTTATGTTATATGCTAAAACTTATCCATAATATGTGCATCTCGTTTCAGAGTGATTATATCTTTATGTGCTGATTATTTATGTATAAAATTTTTTTAATTTGTTTCTTTTCTGATGAAAATTAGATGCTTCAATGTATTTTATGTTATATGCTAAAACTTATCTATAATATGTGCATCTCGTTTCAGAGTGATTATATCTTTATGTGCTGATTATTTATGTATAAAATTTTTTTAATTTGTTTCTTTCCTGATGAAAATTGTTTATAATTGCTTAATGTGTCGACAAGAATCGGTGTAGCAGATATATTTATATTGATGATAATTGTAAATAAAACTTTCTTTTTATCCGCATAGCGTTCTAATGTGTATGATAATTTCAATATTTTCAGCGACTGCGATGTGAGATTAGTCCCGAAATCATTCTAGCTTTTAGTACGAATTAAGACTTATAATTGTACGGTTTTATACATGGGTTTTCTACTTTTTGTGTGTGACACGATGACATGTATGGTTTATCGTAATAGGTTTAACATAGGTTCGCCGTTCATTTCTGTTACCTATGCTGCGTGCCAGCAAATAATTTTATACGTGTTCTGCATTCAGGTTGGTCGAACGTGCAAGTGTAGAGAAAAAGTCCCAGTTAAATTTGAGTATGACAATTTTAATCCTTATTAGAAGAGTAATCCTCAAACGAGAAAAAGCCGTGTTGCTAGTGAAGATTGAAAAAAGGTTATACAATTGACAAACGTATCGGTATTGCTATTGATTACAAAGTGATGTAACAACATATATCTAAAGGTAAATAAAGAGATAGAAGTAGTAGAAAGTTATCACTAAGATAGGTAAAAGAGAGAAAAGAGGAACGTCGTGGAACGTCCTCATCACTTCGCCCCGTAGGGGGTTCACAGGCGAACCTGAGGAGAGAGAGAGGAAGAGGAACGTTGATTGTCGTCCTCACCACCTCACCCCGCAAGGGATCACAGACGTACCTCAGGCTTGAGAGAGATAGAGAAAGAGAGACTCACAACCGCTTTCGTGATGCGTGAGATAAGTACAATATGGCCGAGAGAGATAGAGAAAGAGAGACTCACAACCTCTTTCGTGATGCGTGAGATAAGTACAATATGGCCGAGAGAGATAGAGAAAGAGAGACTCACAACCTCTTTCTCGATGCGTGAGATAAGTACTATACGGCCGAGAGAGTTTCTATCTCGATATCCAACCAAACACCTCCTGATCAGGATTCGTATCACCATAAACGAAAAAAGAGTAATCTATAACGCAAAGTATAACCATTAACGTGAAGGTTTCTTAAAACTGATATCTAGTGGTACAGATAATGCGCAGTTCACTCGGATGTTTTTCTCGAACTCACTCGTCTCGAAAAGAAGTTCTCAAGCTTCTAGATTGGACTCTCCCTCTTTTTCTCTGACGTGCGTACGCTTCTTCTTGCATACGCGACGCCTAGGTGGAAGAGCTTAAACTGCGATCTCCAATAATTCCGGCGTCGGTATCTCGAGTGGTTTCTCTTGACGTAACAATACGATATATTTGCAGTTACCACAATTACAAAAATAACTCAAGTTTTTAATTCACTACATACATTCTTATTTTAAGTCTAAGTACTTACCATACATCTTAAGTCTTAACCTTATACTTATACTTATATCGCAAACAGCTTTGCTAACTTTGTATTGCCACACTTCAACGTTTCTAGTGTACTATGACATGGATTATCTGTATATCTCGTAAAAATATGTGCCGACTCATATCTAGGACATACATAGCGAACGTCTTAAATGTCACAATATTATAATAATAACAAGGACCTCTCCGCCACTCTCGTTCGTATACGTGCTGATACTTTCATGCATTATGGCCATGAAATACTTCACGAAACGGCAAGGATCTATTAGAAATATTGCTTTCTCATGCGTCATATTATACTTTACATTATAAATAGCACTTCTTTTGAATAAGAATCGAGATACCGTTATCGTTTTTTAAGAAAGAATAATTATGAGCTACCTCTGTCGGGCGACGTACATATGTCTAGCAACTCAACACTTTTAACGATAATAATAATTTTATTGAGTACAACGTGAATAATATAAGGGCAAGCGAAAGATTCGATAGGCTCCATTCAACTAAAATAAGTCAATATCTCGTTGCCAGTAATCACTGTATTATCAGACCTCGCTTGATAAAATTGTTTGAAACCTCATGTTAACACATTCTTATCATTGTGCAACCTCTGCAGTTATTTAATATATTGAGCGAGTTGTACACACGCGCAATGATTGGATATTAAATTGTATGAAAAAAAATTGTCTGATTTTAAATGGAATTTGTTTTACTTTGTTTTAATTTTTCGTAAGTTGAGCCATATTTTATTACTTAACGGTATCGTGAAAGGAGCTGCCCGATCTATAACCATCGGTATTATAGTTTTCTCACATGGTGTCACTTCGTATTGGCTCAGAATCATGGTGAGCGCCAGTTTCGTCTGCAGAAGCCCCAAACGGATGCCTGTGGGATGTATAATAGTGCTGTGAGATTTTTTATAATGCTCTAACTAACGACGACATCCAAAAAAAAAAGAAAAATAGGATATTTCGAACTTGATAGAAATTTTCTGTATCGACGTGATTCTCTCTTTTAATTTGTTGCCGTTATTCCGAATTATTATAATCATAAAATTATATATTTTTCTTTGTTTGCTAGTTTATTTCGTAATGAACTCAAAATACTCTATAGGTATTTGATTATGTTATATTAAGAAACATTTTCTACTATAGTTTCCCAATCAATAATTTACTTATGATGAAATTCCTTTTGTTTACGTTTCATTATTATAATTCTAACAATCCTCTTGAAACTCTTGAATATTTCCTTAATAACTGTAATATCGAAATAAAGATGATGTCTCACCTATACACTTGCGAGGACCTTCTCCAAATGGCAAGTACACGCATTGCGGTATTCTGTGAATATTCTCTTCGTTGAATCGCTCCGGATCGTACTTTTCGGGATCGGAGAAATATTCCGGATCATAGTGCAAGCCGAATAACGAGATATAAACTGGCGTGCCCTTCTCAATAATTAAATCGGAGTTGGCCACTTTGTATGACTGCACTGTTTCACGATCTAGGATCTGCAATGTTGGATATTTTCTCAAGGTTTCGGATATCGTCATGTGAAGATACGGTAGTGACAGAATCTGAAAACGAGAACAAACTGTATGAGACACTAAATCTTGAAATATACTGGAGAATGATTTACTGGAAATATTAATTCTTTGTATCAGTATGAAAAGCACTAGAGTTTAATTTACCATTAAAATTAATCGGCGTCAGCCGACAATAGTGTACAATATTGATATGCAATAGCTATATATACCATTTCATATGTAAACTTTCCATTGTTCTCGTTAAATGCGTCGAGAATTTCTTTCCTGAGTTTGTCTTGAATCTCTGGATGCATCGCGAGTTCGTATAATGTGAAAGACATCGTCGATGCACTGGTGTCGAAACCCGCGGCAAAGAAAATAGCCGCCTGCGCCACTAGATCGTCCCCTTCAAGCTCTGAAATTTACGCACAACCGGTTTTCATATTTCTGAATGCTTGAAAATTTTCAACAGTTAGTATAACAGATTTTAAGTTTTGAACTTATCACTCATACATGTTCATTTTAATTGTCATGAATTGTATTAATTTTTTACTTCGTTGACCGTTATTTGTATAAAATTTTCTTCCAGATTTTATATAACATCTATATATTCTTTCATAATATTTCTAGCATACTGTTTATATGTATACGGTATTTTTCTTGTGTCTCATTTAATAAATCTAATACATCTTATAAAGTAAAACAAATAAAACTGAAATATTAACAAGAGCTTATTCGAATTTATTACAATTGATTTTCTGTTATTTAAATATTTATAATTTTTAATAAAAATAGCTATGAAAATTAAACATAATTAACGAGTTTTCTTTCATGATAATAAAGTCATATTGTTATTATTGATTATATTCTGCTTACTAAAATCTCCTAAGTCTTCATTAGCGTTGAATTTTATAAAATCGATCAGGGAATCGATGAGATCATTTCGCTTCTGGCCTGATTCCATGCGCTGATTGATTGCATTCCAGAAAACATTGCGCAAGAAGATAGAGCTCTTCTTACCGAAAAATCTTATATCGAATAAACGAGATATTTCCGGATAGAAGAAGACAATGAACAGTTCAAAGCTGCGGAGGATATTAAAATTAACAATGTCCCTCCCATTTTTACGGAATTCGCATTCTGGATTGTTCACCGAACCAATTCTGAGCCCATAAACGGTGCTGCCGATCATATCCGTAGTTAAATTTCCGAACATATCCTTCACATTTATCGGCTTTTCCTTATCTAAATACGGTAAATATTTTATTCTAAAATAGTTTGTTAAGCACTAATCACTATCTTATTTTGAATAACACATTGCTGTTGCTATAAAAACTATATACAAATACTATCTATAAAAAATTTCAATGAATTTATGTCAACTTATATTTTCATCATTATTTTTTCTCATACTTCAAGTCTCGGTGTTCATAATCAATTAGCTATTTCTTTATATGTTGAAGTATCCGATATAATATTTACCATCTAATTTCAATGAGTCAAGATATCTGTTTAGATCGACAGTGCATTCCATCAACAAATCAAACATTCTTTTGAGCTTGCCGGACGTGAATATTGGTGTTAACTTAGCTCTTACAATTTTCCATGTTGGATTTTTCATGAGTAGAAGGTTGGAGTAACCCAGGCGATCCTTTGGATTAGAACTAACGTATCGATTGCAGAAATAATTAAAGTCCTTTATTAATATATCTTTTATTATTTTTTTATCACGTATCAACAAGCAAGGCTTGTCGAATATATAAAAACCTATATAAGGTTGGTTCTTCCCTTTGTTGTATATGTCCCACATAATAAAACCAGGCGATTGTTTTAATAACACAGAATCTATAATGTTGCCAAAAAATGGCAACGGTTTTATCTCGAAAACATCTCGGCTCTTCCAATAGTTGAATTTACGAGTCATGAAAAGATATGCGGCTGCCACGATTGTTATTGTTAGAGTCATTATGACATCCAGAATGTAATAACTTGTGATAATCGTCATCTTAGTGATTATCTAAAAGATTGTTTCTTTTTATATTCATTTATATTTAAAGATGCAAGATATAAGCAACTTGATAATATAAAGCATAACATGAAAAAAATTATTATGACACAAATATGAATCAATGTTTGTCAGCGTTCGATTCGCTTTCGATTCAGTTCGCTCATAAAGAGATGTATCAAAAAATAAATACATACTTCGATGTTCGTCCGCTATTCGTCCGCTATTCAGCGTATGTGCACTTTTACACGATGTTTAACGAATGACTCGCGATACCTGATTAACGTTAAATACTGCGTGTATTTGTATTTATATCTCCATTAAATATTCGATTTAACTCTCCTCCCGCTCCCTAACGCGAATAAATTATCATAATGCTATTTCCCCTTCTTGTTGCTACGCAATTACGTCGCAGTTTATTTAGTATCTCGGCATGATGATTATTAAGATTTTGATTACGAGTTGTTAGTGGCAGAGAGAGAGAGAGAGAGAGAGAGAGAGAGAGAGAGAGAGAGAGAGAGAGAGAGAGAGAGAGAGAGAGCGAGCGGGAGAAGGAGAGAGAGGGAAAGAAAGATACGCATTATAAACATATCGGTTTTTATTATTTTAATATATATATATATATATGCATTTAATTAATCATTTATTAGACATTTATTTTCATTTGACATTAAATTACGTCTCTTTCTCACAAACATCTTATTTTGCAACGATATTTTAATGAATATTGTTTATATCTTAATTGATTGCGATTGCGTTTGATTTAACAAGAAGAGTTCGCATTCCGTTAAGATTTACATTGTATGTCAATTAATGTTATGCACGGATTAATTCTCAGTTTGTTAAATTATGTTCTCCGTGTAATCGTGAAGTGAGATTTCAATTTTGAGATATTCTGGTAACGTCGCGCGGATGTATTCTAGTACATGCAGATATTTCTTATCTTCCATTTGATGTTCAACTTATCTAATTTGATGCACTTAGACTTGAATTATGAATTAGACACTAATATATTGTTGCGCCCTTGCGCAAGAAAAATAACACGGAATTAACAAAACGAAAGAAGCTTTATTTTAATACGTCCGTCCGTCGTGACAAGACCAGGGCGACTCTCTCCTCATCTCTTCTTGTTTCCTTTATTTATTAAACAACCTCCTTGACAATAACAGCTGTCAAACAATTTCTACGCGATTCCTTTGCAGTCCACTCCCAGGAGCTTGGGGATAACATGTCCCCCAAAGACACGGGCGCAGCAATATGTAAACGTCGCATATACTACAATTGTTTGTAAATATCTTTTTGACCCAATGAATTGTGAAAAAAAAATTATTACATGATTATACGATGCGAAATGTAAAACATTTTTATCAGAGAACTGATAAATTAATAAAAACTTAATAAAATTAGTAAAATGGAAATTAATTTTCGGCGTGCTACACTACAAAAATCCTAATATCACATCCAAATAATATATTCCGTATAGTTAGGAAAGTAAGTTGCTTTATATATGCTCGTTTACATGCTCGGGATTACATGATTAAGATAAAAGAACTGTATGTTAACTTCATTAGCTCTATCAGATAATATATCTAAATATAATAATTATAAGAATAATAGTAATTTTATTGAATATAATATATAGGAATGAACACATCACAGAATGTGGTTTCAGATGTCTCGTATTAATATTTTACCTACCGCGCCAGTAGATGGGTTTCCTTTTGAGTTATCGGTTGAATATATGTTAATACACCTTGTAAAATTAATAACTACTCAACTCTAACGACGATATATTTATAGTTACTTTAATATTTTTAGAAATATTTTATTTCGGATTAGTCGTATATATTTTAGAGTTGCAAAATAGATATTCTGTTGACTTTTAATTATATGTTTAGCTTTCGTACGTTGAGATATATTTTACCGCCCATTGCTGTTGTTGTGGGACTTTTTGGATCAAGTACCATCGGTATTAAAGTCTTCTCACATGGTATCAGCTCGTATCGGTGCAATGTTTTAATGATCGCCAATTTCGATTGCAGAAGTCCTAAACGCATGCCTACGCATAAATATTTTGTGATTAAATCACCTACGTGCAGTATTATAGAATTTATATCCAATAAATTCTGTTACCGTAATCTATATTGGTGTATAATTTATGTACATATAAATATATTCTACATTTTGCCAGATAACTCCGAAGAAACTCGTCAAATATAAAATGTGGGATCGTGTTCTTAAGAAATCCTTTTTTAATGACGATATACAGAACAGATAAGACACAAAGATACGTTATAGATATAAATAAAAATATAGATTTGTTCTCACCAATACATGCGCGAGGACCAGCTCCGAATGGCAAGTATGTGCAAGACGGTATGTTGCACCTGTTCTTCTCGTTGAATCGTTCTGGATCGAACTTCTCAGGATCAGAAAAGTATTCTGGATCATGGTGCAATCCGAGTATCGGCAAAAAAATCGGCGTATCTTTCTCGATAACTAGATCAGAGTTTGGTATTTTGTAAGGTACTATTGTCTCGCGATCTATGATCGAAAGTACTGGGTACTTTCTCATTGATTCAGAAAGCACCATGTCAAGGTAAGGCAGCGATAGAACCTGATAAATAAGTGTTTGGAATTATTTATCAGCAAACAGCAACAATAATTTTACATTAACGTTATAATTTCTCATTTAATAATGTAACATACAGCATATGCTTCATGTGTATCGCACTTACATCGTCGAATGAAGAATTACAACATATTGATGTAATCTTACTGTTATTTGGCGTTTTTTATACCGATTTATGTCGAAGACATAAAGTTAATTCTTGAAATTGCAACAGCAATTTATAGTGGATTTGATTCGTGATATTAAAGCCATTTCGTAGCACTTGCTACCAAAATCGAAAAAACAGAACAATAATATATATGGTTATATTCATATGTACCATGTTGTGCGTGATCTTTCCATTGGTTTCGTAAAGTGCATCGAGAATTTCTCTTCTCAATTTATCTTGAATCTCGGGATGTATCGCGAGCTCGTATAACGTGAAAGATATTGTCGATGAGCTGGTCTCGAAACCGCCGAGGAAGAATATAGCAGCTTGCGCCACTAGATCGTCTCCTTCAAATTCTAAAATTTACGCATGCGAATTATTTTATTCATTTTTTCTCTGATAGTCTTCCGTATTTTGCATAATTGATTTTAGCTTTAGCAATTATTAGACTAATATATTTACATAATTTAAGATTAATAGACGATCTTTGATCGGTTAAAGTTGACTGTTAAATAGTTATGCATACAAGAATTGTACACAATCAGAATCTTTTTTAATGTTATCATACAGCTATTATCATTGATCGTATTTTGCTCACTGAAATCTCCCAAATCCTCATTGGTGCATTCTTCCTTAAAATCGATAAGAATGTCGATGAGGTCTCCTCGCTTTTGGCCGGACTCCATGCGATGATTGATTATATCCCAGAAAACCTTGCGCAAGAAAACAGTACATTTATCGCCAAACGCCGTTACACCGGCGGCATTGGCTAATTCCGGATAAAAGCATGCTATGAGCAACTGCACGCCGCGGACGATGCTGTTAACATCGAAGATCATTCTTCCGTTTTTACGAAACTCACAGTTCGGATTGTTCACTGAATCAATTTTAAGACCGAAAGCTATGGTGCCGATCATGTCCGTAGTTAAATTGGCGAATAAATCTTTCACATCCATCATCTTCCCGTTTCCTGTTGGAAAACACGCCGAATTATTTCTTCAAGTAATAGTAGTCATCTTATTCTAAATAACGTATATTGTTATTGTCGCAAGTAAATGAAAAGATCAATCGACTTGCATTTCTGTATCCGAAATATTCTATGGTGAAACACTTACCATCTAATTCCAACGAATCGAGATATGTATCTAGATTGACAGTGCATTCCAACAATAAATCGAACATTCTCTTTAGTTTGCCAGACGTAAAGACCGGCGTTAACTTGCTTCTCATAATTTTCCAAGTTGGATTTCTCATGAGAAACAGTGTCGAACATCCGAGACGATCATTAGAACTGGTCTTTATCAACCGATCACAAAAATGATTGAAGTCCTTTATTAATATATTTTTTATCATTTCACGATCGCGCACCAGTAGGCAAGGTTTGTCGAATATGTATAGACCTACATATGGTTGTCCTTTCGCATTGTTATAAATATCTCTGAAGAGATAGCCAGGTGCTTGTTTTAGGAGCACGCAGTTCGCGAAGTTGCCCAAAAACGGTAACGGTTTTATCTCGTAAACGCCTCGTTTTTTCCAATAGTTAAATTTGCGGGTCATAAAAAAATATGCGACTATCACGCTTGTTACTGTTAAAATCGTGATGCTATCCAAAGCCCAATAATTCGTTATTATTGCCATTTTAGCGATTATCTGTAAAATATTTCCTTTTATGCATACATTTGAATATGCAGTCTGATAACATAAAGTATGATTAAAAAAGATTGGTGGCCAGGACATAATTGAATAACAGTCTTAATTAATTATAATGTCGGATCATAACAAAAATAGTATATTTGTTTAAAAAAGTCGGTAAATATGATTTATACATATATTGGACGTATTTGCTTTTTCTTCAATGAAACATTTTTGAATGTTCTTAATATGAGATCCAAAAATACCACGTTACAATTTTTTAATTTCAACAGTTTTTTTACGCAAGTCTTTCTTATACACGCTATATATTGGGAGCTTGCTTTGAAATTTCCAGAAGAACGTTTATTATAAGAAAATCATGTTTCCACTGTTCCTCCTTACGTAGCATTTAGCATTAGCATTTAAACGCACGATATGCAATAACATGTATATGAAGAATGCTAATAACAGCAGAAAATATCGTAACAGGTTTGAAATTCTGCTGATTAAGATTATTATATTACTCATACCAGAGGCATATAAAGACTTAGTCTTATATAAGACTTGAATCAATAAAAAGAAGGTAGACAGAAAACAGAATAAAAAACAGAGTTGTATTATAGTAATTAATGCGTGAGTCTAGGTCCGAAGTCTTACAATACTAATGATAAGTACATACGTAAGTATGTGCGAATGTAAATAAGAACAAATAAAAGTCATCTTCTTCCACAAGATCGGCTACTTTTCTCTTGTCCGGAGTTATGAAGATCAAGATCCCAATTCTTAAGATGCGATCCTATCGAAAGTATCCAAGTCAGTACATCAGTGCCACTAAGGCCATGACATTCAGATTGCGCGCGTAAATCAACATCTCGTAAATGATATGTTAACCCTTTGCACTCCGCGTGTTTTCTTATCACTGCCTATTCCGGCAGCACTTTTGTAGTGGAGCGTCTGGGAAAGAGAAATTTTACTTTGAACGGAAAAAATTACAAGTGCTTGCAATTTCAAAAAGCAACTGGAGGTATTGATGTTAATACTAGAATGTCTCCACAGCGGAGCCACCGGAGTTACGAAACAAATGATGGATGTCTCTACAGCGAAACCAACGGAGCGCTAAGGGTTAATATCCAATAAGTGGGTGGAAAGTAAATAAATAGAGACAATAATATGATGCAAGTCTGCAATGTCTGCAAATAATGAGTCGATCGCTTTGACTTCTCCCTTTGAATAATCACTTTTTTGAATTTGACAGCGACGTTTGTAATTCGATTTTCTCTACTCCAGCGATTTGTAAGATCTTGATGGAAGAACAGTGTGGATTCATTGTCCATTTTAGAGTCGTCTGTCTTGTCGGAACATTTTCTTTAATGAATATTTTCAGAAGTTGAAATTAAATTACAGGCACTATTATAAAATTTGAAGAAAGTAACTGAAATAAATATCTCAAATTGATAGTATCACATATATATATCAGTTCACATTTGTCGGATTCCGATGCGGAAAATTGATACATCAAACCGATAGATTTATCAAACATATATGTGTGTACCGCAAATGCGTTGCAGTTAGAAAATAAAATGAACAAGTCGATGTAGAATTCCGTTTGTCGTATTAAACTTTAATCCTTTGTTCAAATATTAAGTGCACTATTACGCAAATTATTATATTGCTGAATGTTCTGGTAGATGGCTGAACAAGTTGATGTGACAGTTAAACTCGCGACAACTCGTGACAAGTAAATTTCACGACTTAAATTCTTACAACACTAGCGGTGTTAACGTGATGAACGTGATTTAAATAGTCTGTTTTCGTAATGTGTTGCGTAAGGATGTTATGATGATGCATAATTTGCATTTCATAATATCTAATTAATCTTGAATCTATACTCCTATCATACAGGATGTCCCATTTTAAAACCTCCACGCGAATATCTCTGAATGATCAAATTTTCAGAAAAAATATTCCAGATAAAAGTTCAGATAAAAGTTGTTAGGTTAGGTTCAGAGGGGGCCATCTGATGACGACCTTGACCTTGACCTTGGAGGTCATTTTGAAGATTATTTGAAGGTCAATTTCGTTTTTTTAATGGAAATCGCAATTTTTTTACTGCAGATTTGTATTCTACATAAAAAATTAAGAAAGTTTTATTCTTGATGTTTTTTTGATATTCCGCCTCCATAAGGCTGAAAATGCTGTTTAAACATCGCTAAAATGCTTTTTTCGAGGAATATTTTCGACCTCTTACAATTAGTGTTAAAGCGAGATCGGGGGTAGATCCGGCCGATTAAAGCAAATTTGAAATTACCTCTAGAGTCACTTGGGCCCCATAACATGGGTACACATCTGAACGTGAAATTTTCCAAACACTAAGAGGTCGAAAATAGTCCTTGGAAAAAAGCATTTTAGCGATGTTTAAACAGCATTTTCAGCCTGATGGAGGCGGAATATCAAAGAGAACGTAAAGAATAAAACTTTCTTAATTTTTTATGTACGTAGAATACAAATCTGCAGTAAAAATAGTGATTTCTATTTAAAAAACCAATTTGACCTTCAAATAACTTTCAAAATTACCTCCAAGGTCAAGGTCAAGGTCGTCATCAGATGACCCCCTCTGAACCTAAAAACTTTTATCTGAACTTTTATCTGAAATATTTCTTCTGAAAATTTGATCATTCAGAGATATTCGCGTGGAGGTTTTAAAATAAAACACCCTGTATATTCTACACTTTAACCTTATTCATTTTATAAGTGTAAGAATTCAAGATTACAAACGTAGCAAAAACATATAATGATTGAATAACTGATAAGCGCGTGACTAAATAGTTAATAATATGATATTAGCATTCATAATAGCGCAAATAGTATTTTTCTTCGATCTAAGAGCGATATTATCTAACTATTGCGCGATTTTCGAACGTTGAGATAGATTTTGTAATTTATTGGCTCTATTATGAGAGCTCTAAAATACTGTTAATATTACAATTTTCTTGCGTTGTATTGGGAGTACAAATTAGTTCGGTCCGTTTTTTGTGTTAAAAAATGTATTTATTTCAAAACAAAATGAATGAACATATCAATTAAAGTTTTTTCCATCGCTGGCTACCACTTTCTCCCATTTCTCAGGCAATTTTCGAATTCCATCTCGAAAAAATGACTCGTCTTCTGAGGCGATTCAAGGTTTGGAGCCAATTTTCGATTTCTGCGAAAGAAGTGAACCGATGACCCGCCAAAGCGTGCTGCATCCTTCGGAACAACCAGTAATCAGAAGGAGCAATGTTCGGAGAATACGGCGGGTGCGGTAAAACATCCCATTTGAGCGTTTCCAAATATTTTTTTACGACTTTTGCGACATGAGGTCGAGCGTTGTCATGAAGAAGAATAACTTTATCATGTCTTTGCTCGTATTCCGGCCGTTTTTCTCGCAATGCACGGCTGAAACGAATTAATTGTAGCCGATACCGATCGCCCGTAATGGGATCTCCAGGTTTCAGCAGCTCATAGTAAACAACACCCTTTTGGTCCCACCAGATACAGAGCGTGATCTTCGTACCATGTATGTTCGGCTTTGGTGTTGATGTTGAGGTCGATGGCAACAATCGACCGGGCTTGGCGTAGTATTTTTTCTTCTTGGGGTTGTCGTAGAATATCCACTTCTCATCTCCAGTTACAATCCGATGCAAAAAGCCTTTTTTTTGTTGCCTTTGAATCAGCTGCTCGCAAGTGAAAAATCGCCTTTCAACGTCTCTCAGTTTCAGTTCATAAGGCACCCAATTTCCTTGTTTTTGAATAAATCCCATGTCTCTCAATCGTACGGAAACGGCTTGTTGAATCACTCCCAATGATTCTGCAAGTTCCTCTTGCGTTTGACTCTGATCTTCTTCGAGTAATGCCTCTAATTCTTTGTCCTCGAATTTTTTTGGCTGTCCAAAGCGAGGCTTGTCTTCGACGCTGAAATCTCCATCCTTGAAACGTCGAAACCATTCCCTACATGATTTATCAGTTGGAGCAGCGTCACCATAAACTTCAACAAGTATTCGATGGGCTTCAGCTGCACTTTTCTTCCAATTAAAGCAGAAAATTAAAACCTCCCACAAATGCTGCTTGGTTAACACAAAATTCGAAATTTTCAACACTGTAAAAAGCAAGGTTTTTGTATGAAACTCAAAGCGATATAAACTGAATATTATTGGCAGATGTCTAACCTCTCTGAAACCGCCAAAACTATGAACCATTCATAACAGCCGGAGCCATCTTTTGAAAACGGACCGAACTAATTTGTACACCCAATATTATTTCGTATCAATACAACGTTCTTATAATTCCTGGTTTCGCTCGCGGAAGTCGCGAGCGAAAATAAAATGTAAATTTTATGCTCGCAAGGTTTACATATTTCATTCATGAAGGTAAAGGTATTTCATTAATAATCGATGTGTGTCTATTGATTTTCAATAAAAATACTTCCGCTAATTTTGACCAGTCGAAGTAGATTTTGCTGCAAGATCTGTAGTACGCAAATATGTTGTATGCTGTACTAATTGCTTTGTACTTTGTGTATTTGCGGCAAAGAAATCAATGGTTTATGTAAGTCTTGACGATGACGATATCTAAACAATTTGCATCGATATTACAAGCGAGAACAGTCGCTTTTAATACTGTAAATTTAATAACTGATTTATTTGAAGAGGTTTTACTGATTGCAATGTCATACTTGCAAATGAACCATCAGCTACCGGTATGGAATTTCAGTGAAGAATACATTGACTGCACTATATAGAAGAAGAACTCTATTTTTCTATAAGTTCAAAAATTGCTACTTGGATACACAATACAAATCATTGATATGTTATATTACACATCGTCTTCATTTTAGCTAATAAGACGCTAGTAAAGAATTTTTATTTTTAAGAGGTAACTTTCGTCTTAAGAGATAACTATAGTCTAAGACGTATAATTCCATCAGTTAACGGTGATACACACTATTCTTTTTATAAATAATATTAATACTTATTATATAAAACATATTGGTGAATCTTGTGAATTTTTGTATTTTTATGCTAACTATATTTTATGTAACTATATTTTCTGTTATGTCTTGGATTTACTATACTTTGACATATTATTCAAATCATTTTTGCGTAATTTTTATTGATAGTAGACATTGAAATGCACCAGAATATCATTATGTTATTGAATGTTATTGTATAAATTCTCTGATTTAATTATTAGATGTACAACTTTGCTCCCGCCGTTTTTTTTCTGAAATTCGAGGCTTTATTGTAAAAAACTGGTTATACATTTATGATTCAAAGTATTGTCCATCGCTGGCCACTACTTTCTGGCCCATCTTTCGGGCAGCGTACGAATCCCGCGTTGAAAAAACTGGTCATCTTTTGAAGCGATCCACGAATCGATCCAATTTCTTACTTCTTCATAAGACCGGAAGTGCTGGTCAACCAGGCCGTGTGTCATTGATCGAAACAAGTGATAGTCAGAGGGAGCAACATCTGGAGAATACGGCGGGTGGGGTAGGACTTCCCATTTCAACGTTTCCAAGTATGTCTTGACCACTTTCGCAACATGGGGTCGAGCATTGTTATGTTGCAAAATCACTTTATCGTGTCTCTCGTTGTATTGCGGCCGTTTGTCTTTCAATGCTCGGCTCAAACGCATTAATTGCGTTCGATAACGATCGCCTGTGATCGTTTCAGTCGGTTTTAACAGCTCATAATACATTACGCCGAGCTGGTCCCACCAAATACAGAGCATGACCTTGGAGCCGTGAATATTCGATTTGGCCGTCGACGTGGAAGCATGGCCGGGATATGCCCATGAGCATTACGATAACCCCAAGCACATTTTCTGTGCTTGGGGTTATCGTAATGAACTTATTTTTCGTCCCCAGTCACAATGCGATGCAGGAATCCCTTCCGTCTTTCCGCCTTTCAAGCAACTGTTCACAAGCAAACAAACGCCTTTCAACATCTCTCGATTTCAACTCGTACGGCACCCAATTTCCTTGCTTCTGAATCATTCCCATGTCTTTGAGGCGTTTTGAAATTGCTTGTTGAGTCACTCCCAATGATCGTGCCAATTCTTCTTGACTTTGACACGAGTCTTCATTAAATAATGCCTCTAATTCTGCATCTTCGAAAACCTTCCCTCTTCCACCGCTATGCCGGTCTTCGACGTGAAAATTACCGTTCTTGAAGCGTTGAAACCACTCACGACACGTTCTTTCACTAATAGCGGCCTCACTATACGTATTTGAGAGCATACGATGAGTCTCAGCCGCAGATTTCTTCATATTGAAGCAGAAAATTAAAATCTCCCGCAAATGACGAGAATTTGGCTCGTAAACTGACATTTTCAATCGAGAATAACTTTATGCTGCAGACACAAATCGACTAATGTTTCTGTGGGGTTA